TCTCCCTGCTCATATTCTGTCTCTCAAAATTAAAAAACAAATAAATAAAACATTTAAAATGTTTTTAATTAAATAAAAATAAACTAACAAATAACTTTTTAGAGTAAAACTAGAGTTTATGCATTTAAAAACCATAAAGAAGAAAGGACTACTAACAAGAGGGGAGAAAAAAGAGATAAAATATCAAAAGGGAGAAAGGAAAATCATTTGCAAATGATACGATTATCTGCCTGCAAACCAGAGAATCAGCTCACACACCATCCTAGCAAGGTCTTTTGGCCACAGTTAAGTTTCCCAGTTAAAAAATTAAATATGTTCAAACAATATCTTCCCTGTATCCCAGCCCAAACTTGTAAGAATGCATAGTCAGTAAAAATCACATTCAGGAAATATAAACTAAATTTGATAAAAAATGCATAGCAAATACAGAAAGCAAACTGCAGCACTGGGCTCAAGAAAAACTAAACCCTCATCTGGAATGGGGGCGGGGGGTCATATAATGTTCTCTTATGGGAGATCATGCCCTTACAGCAATCTTAATTTCTCCCAAATAGATTCGCTGTGACTTAAATACTGCACACTAAGTCTTTATTAAAATGGCCCAGTGATTATAAACTTTCCTGGAATTATAAACACTTGATACTATACATTATCATCCTCAAAAATAAAAAAGATAAAGGTTGTTTGATCAGCCTGATAGTTACATCTATTAAAAATTTGGACCAACCAATATATGAAGAACAGGTCCTTGTAACAATAGATATTAAACTATATATTAAGCCCAGAAACACATCTAAATATATAGTTTATTTTACCAAAAGTAGGTATTTTAAATCAGAAGAAACAAATGTGAAGTATTCAAAAAGAAAAAAAAGAATTTGGTAAAACACAGTAACTTGGAAAACAAGCCCACCCCCAACTTAACTGTGCAATCAACATCTGTAGATGGAGTAGCCAATAAAGAAACCGTGAGCTTTCAGGAAGGAAACGTCTATGCTTACGCGGTTTCTCTTCTTTCTCTCCCTCTCCCCTCCCTGTGAACTTAAGGATGGCAAGGTCACCCACCGCCCTACCTGGTTGACGCAGCCCCTTCATAAAGCTGGCGGGAGGGAGCTCGGGGTAACACGTGGACGCGGTGAATCACTGCACTGTACCCCCGAAGCTAACATAACCTGTATGTTACCTGTACTGGAAGTAGAGTAAAAAATCACAAAAATGAATAAAAAAAGTAAAATAAAAAGCTTTCTGGAGATTAAAGTCTGCCGCCAGCCTTGGGTTCCCAGTGATCGTGTCAGAAGGAGACAGGCCGGTGCAGTGATGCCCACAGGTGCAATGGGGACCTCTCCTGTGGCTCGTGTGGCTTCACCCTGTGACATTGTTCATTCTGAAGAATCATACCGTCCACGTCTCGTTACACACCTTACACACCCAAACACATTCACCTAAATCTATCAGTTCGGTAAAATCCACTTAAAGCAGCAAAACAGAACATACACAAAGTTTGAAGATTTTAGGATCACATAATTACGGCCTCTAGTTTACAGAGCATCAGCCAGGTTGGTGTTGCTGCCTAAAGCACCGCAAAGCCTTACTGGGAAGGCGGGCAGCCAGTGCTGGGGCCTTAAATGAAATCTGTGTGGTCTCACCAGACTGAGTCCCCCCCACCTCACCCGCAAACAAAGGCAACCACAGCCAACCTAGAAAAAGACAGAAATTGGGGAACTACTGACGTTTGCTGGTTGCTAAATTAGGTGGCACCGGAATGAACTCACAGCTCCTTGTGGGACTCCTGGGCTCTAGCCGGAGAGGAAACCGCCGCACGCCCGGGCTCTGGATCCTTCCAGCAGCATGAAGTGGGCGGAGCAAGTGCACCTGGGAACCAGAAGCACCTTAGCAATTCCGGGTCCCAGGCCTTGGGCGCATGAAGGCTCCGCCCTGGAGGAGAGACACATGACTATGACAGATCTTTCTGACATTTTCTCCCTGCTGCTTGGATCCAGATGGAAAACTGACTGGGACCAACTTTGCGACAGTGTGTCAGTCTGACAGAGCCCAGCAAATACTGCGGATTCTGTAAACTGGCTGAGGGCTGCCTAGTGGCCCACAGCCCGGAGGGTGCAGGGTGTTGAAGAAGCCTTCCTTCCTCCTGCCAGCGCAGCCTAACAGGGAGCAGGGCCAAGGAAGGCGCCTCTGGGACCCGGCCACCTGTACTGGGTCCCCTCGCTGGCTGTCACCTGGCCTTGGGTCTGCAAAGTGGATTCAAGGCCACCAAGGTAAACAGGGAGTTCCACTTATGCTGTGCTTGGGGCATGGCATCCTCAGAGAGATGCCGACCTAGCAGGAGAAAAGTTACTAGAAAAGTCCAAGGTGTGAGAGAGATTTTGGAGGGGAAAAGAAGGCAGCAAAAGATGCTTACATGCTAGTGAAAAATAGACACATTTTCCTAGAGGATATAATCAGAGCATGTAAGCACAATCAAATTTTGAAATATTCCCTGCACCTTCTGAATTATTAGGGGGCGAGGGGCCGGGGCCCACAAAGATAAAGAGGCCATGGTTTTAGGGGAATATAAAATACAGTGACAAGGGCCGCCCGGGTGGCTTAGTCGGTTAAGCGTCCGACTTTCGCTTAGGTCATGATCTCGCGGTTCGTGGGTTCGAGCCCCGCGTCGGGCTCTGTGCTGACTGCCAGCTCAGAGCCTGGAGCCTGTTTCAGAGTCTGTGTCTCCCCCTCTCTCTGATCCTCCCCTGCTCACGCTGTCTCTCTCTCTCTCTCCTAGAAATAAATAAATAAAACATTAAAAAAAATAAAATAAAATACAGTGACAAAAATGAAGTGTATTTGTAGTGGTAACAAAGGCTTTTGGGTTGAATGCATCCCTACGAAGGAGACAGCGTTCAGAGTGGGGGAAATATTTGTAAGAAACACGGATTAAGTGAAATGACTCAGAAAGGTAGAATTTAAAGGCAACGGAGCTGTATTCCAGAGAATCTGAAGCAAGTACACACAAGAGTGCGACAATTTTAGATAATTTTAGAAAACCAAAGTTAAGTTTCTAGTGGAGATATACTTACCAAATCTTTTTTGATATTGTAACATAACATCAGGGTGTTCAATAAAAACTGCTTGGAGGGCAGTTGACCTCAGCTCAAGTCATGATGTCACGATTTGTGTGTCAAGCCCCGTGTTGGGCTCTGCGGTGACAGCATGGAGCCTGCTTAGGATCCCCTCTCTCTCTGCCTCTTCTTATCTCTATCTATCTCAAAATAAATAAACATTAAAATTTTTTAACTGCTTGGACATAAATGGAAATTTAAAAAAATAATGGAAAACTTCATTATACCTTGTAGATTTTATTCAATAGGTCAACTATGTAGAAGCAAGTAAGATTTTTGGGTCTGAATAAAGTAACATGATTACTGCCCAGCTCCATATCTTGGAAATAGAGAATAAACCCTTGCTGATACCTGTAGAATCTTTCCTAGCACTGTTATGGGCTGATTCATAAGGACAACCTCAATAGTTTCGATACTAAGATATTGGTATGAGTTCCCATGTTTTTCAGCTTTTGGTTGTATTTCATTCACTTACACAAAACTTATTAACAAAGACATGTTTCATTCCAGATCCAGAGTTTTGCTATTTCTAATCAGCAACCTTGCATATAATTGCATCTTGATGAATTTCCACCATTACAGAAACTCTTACAACTGGCAATACTGAGGCCATTGAATTTTTGATTGATACTGACCAAATTTCCCTCCAACCATCATTTGGATCATTTCTTTCAATAAATTTGCCAACCAGTTGTTATCGCTTAATGTGAAAAAAATTTATTTCTATATTAATGGATTGGTCAGGAAAGTTACTACATGTGTTTATTGTTTCTATAGCTTCCAGTCAACCCACTTTGATTTTCTAAGGAAGCAGTCATGTCATTCACCCATAACGTGAATTTTACTCTTTCTTTGATTACTTTATTTCGTTCTCTCTCAACCCCTTCCTCTTAAGTGAAAACCTCACTGCTTTTTGCACAGATGAAATGCCATCCCATGTACTGACCCACCACATGGGTGCCCATAAATCTCACCTTCTCTGGGCTACTGGGGGTTAGCTCTAAGTTATATCCCAGGTGTCACCTGCACTGTGCTTGGGTTTCGTCCCCTCTGGATGACTCGAACACTTTCACTGTGCACGTGCCCTCCTCTCCCGTGGTGAAACCACGTGCCTGAATAATGCCCTCAGCTTATGTTCGACAGCACCTAGTTCTAAGACAGATAATCCACCTTCCCCCGCAGGGACTGTCATTCATCTGCTCTCTTACAGTGCTGTATGTTCTTGTCCACGGTTCCTCCACTCACATTCCCTCCTCCCCCTTCTTTCCCTCCCTCCCCCTCCCCTTCAACCCTTCCCTATAAAACACAGGTAGAGAAAAGTGCCTGAAACAAACCTATGATTCAGTGAACACTTTTTTAATCACCACCATGGACATAAAAGTAGAACGTTGCCAGAACCCTCGAAGTTTCTGTGTGGTATCTCCTAATTATGGCTCCCTTGGCTTACAAGTAATAACTATCCTGACATTTAGAGCAATGACTTCTCTGCCCATCTTTACAGATTTGTCACCGATGTCACCCACCCCTCCCCCCCAATAGTGTTGCCAGTTTTTAAAAGTTTAATGCTTTTAAAGTCACTTTTTTTTCTTTCATAGTTTATTGTCAACTGGGTTTCCATACAACACCCAGTGCTCATCCCCACAAGTGCCCTCCTCCATGCCCATCTCTCCCCTCCCCCCCACATCCATCAGTCCTCAGTTTGTTCTCAGCATTCAAGAGTCTCTCATGGTTTGCCTCCTTCCCTCTCCCCCACCATCTCCCCCCTTCTTCTCCCCCATGGTCCTCCGTTAAGTTCCTCCTAATCCTCCTGTATGTGCAAACATATGGTATCTGTCCTTCTCTGCCTGACATTTCGCTCAGCATAACACCATCAAGGTCCATCCATGTTGCTACACATGGCCAGATGTCATTCTTTCTCATTGCCATGTAGTATTAAAGTCGCTTTTAATCTAGAGGCTTCCCCTTCTGTCCCTTGTTTTTCTTTATAATTTATCTGTTAAAAAATCTAATAAGGCTTTTGACTTGTAAAATTCCCACCATTTAGATTTGCTGACGATGTCCTTAGGATTTTGTTGAACGCATTCCCTATTCCCTAGTCTCTGTCTTCCTTGCAAAACAGCACTATTATCTACAGATTTGATTGTACTCCGTTGATGTTCTTAGCAAGACCCTGGCAGTGGTGCATTCTGGCCTCAGGGTGTGCACAGTGTGTCTGGATGTCTCTTTGTGACATTCACCGCTGTTGGGGGAAACAACAAAAACAAAAACAGATCCCTTAATTCACTGGAGTTTTCACAGTGAGGATATCCTACCTGTATCAATTCTTATTTATGCATTAGGGGAAATACTTCTATAAAGACACATGTCTACTCTTTATTTACCATTGAGAGAGTTTAGAGAAGAAAGGCACAGTATCAGATTCTCTTTTGAACTTGAATCTTCAAGTTCAAGTCTCCATCATTCCTTCTAATCAGGGTCACCTTAAAGGTACCTCTCAACAGACCCATACCTTGTGTAATTTGACTGCTTCATAGAGTTTCAGGGAAGCGCTGCTGATGCCACATCCTCTATCTGCTCTTCCTGCCCCACGGAGGGCCTTGCCCAGTGCCCCTTGCAAGCTCCCCTTCTCTTCCTCACCCTTAATGTTAGAGAGGCCTGGCTCCCAAATTCATATGTCCCAGCCCCACGGGTTCCCCAGAATCTCAGAACAACTGGGCTGCGTGCCATCTCCATCCTGACACCAGAGGGGTTTTTTTTTTAATGTTTTTTATTTATTTCTGAGAGCGAGACAGTGTTAGCAGGGGGGAGGGGGGATCAGAGAGAGAGGGAGACACAGAATCCGAAGCAGGCTCAAGCCTCTTGAGGTAGCCAGCAGCACAGAGCCCGACGCTGGGCTCGAATCCACGAATTGTGTGATCATGACCTGAGCCGAAGTGGGACCTAACCAACTGAGCCACCCAGGTGCCCCCTGACACCAGAGTTTAGATTTTACATGGTCCCCTTCTCCCCCCAAACCCAAACTTGTCCCTCGCCAGCACCACAGTCTGCTCAGGGGGACCCTCAACCCTGCCCACTCCTGCACCCCCACTTGCAAAATTGGACCTCAAGCCGATCACTTCTTACCTTCAGAGGCGTGTGTGTTCCTGTCGGTCTTTAGCCCAGTCCTGAATTTCCGCTTTCCCAAATATGAGACAGAAAAGTAGGCTTATCACATTAATGCCTGCCATCAGGAAGAAAATTTTAAACCAGGCAGATTCTGGATCCTGAGGATTATAGTGCAAAGTAATTATAAATTCGTGGGCTTGAGGTGCAGCACAGGTCACTTAACAGACATGGAAAAGCACACTCATAAGGAGCAAAAAAAATTTATAATTTCACTCTACAAAGATAATTACTATGTATCTTTCTTTTTGATTTATGTCTATGTGCATATAATTTTTCATATATAAAAATGGCATTATGATGGACATAGTGCCCAAGCTAAGGCTGCATGTTTTTTATTTAGAAATATAGCCATGTTTCACCCTCCTACACTGTTGGTGGGAATGTAAACTGGTGCAGCCCCTCTGGAAAACAGTGTGGAGGTTCCTCAGGAAACTAACAATAGAACTCCCCTAGGACCCAGCAATAGCACTGCTAGGAATTTACCCAAGGGATACAGAAATGCTGAGGCATAGGAGCACATGGACCCCAATGTTCATAGCAGCACTCTCCACAATAGCCAAAACATGGAAAGAGCCTAAGTGTCCATCAACGGACGAATGGATCAAGAAGATGTGGTTTATCTATACCATGGAATACTACATGGCAATGAGAAACAATGAAATCTGGCCATGTGTAGCAACATGGATGGTCCTTGAGGGTGTTATGCTGAGCGAAATAAGTCAGGCAGAGAAGGACAAATATCATATGTTTGCACGTATAGGAGAATTAGGAGGAACTTGACGGAGGAACAAGGGGGAGAAGAAGGGGGGAAATGGTGGGGGAAAGGGAGAGAGGCAAACCATGAGAGACTCTTGAAAGCTGACAAAAACTGAGGACTGATGGATGTGGGGGGGAGGGGGGATGGGCATGGAGGAGGGCACTTTGGGGATGAGCACTGAGTGTTATGTGGAAACTAATTTGACAATAAACTATTTGTAAAAAAAAGAAATATAGCCATGTTTAAAATATATATCTAACACATTTGCATATCAAGAAATGTTTGAAATATAACCTTTACTGACAGATTAGTAATGCAGAGTATAGATTTATAAAATTTACAAAACATCCCTTCTTTCTTTATATTTAAGGTGTTTTTCACTTTTTGCTGATAAAAATTTGAGTACTTTGAATACAATTTATCAAGTACCTTTTCCTTATTTATAAAACATCTTATCTTTAAGCCTATAGTTCTATCAGTATCATTAAGAGATCTTGTAATATTCAGCCACTTTAACCTAGAAAATAGCTGACTTAATCATGGTGTCATAGGCATATATTTTAATCTGCTGGTGGATGCCATGCACAGGTAATTTATTTCATTTTTGTATCTATATTCAAAGATGACATTGAATTTTAATTACATTTGAGACCTGTTTTGCCATTTTGCCTTTTAACTTTTTTATCAGCCAAAATTAAATTTTATGTAGTTGAAGGTATAGTGCATTGTGATTGGGTTTAAAAATGTCTGGAGCCATGCTTTCGAAGGATGTCCAACCAGAAGTTTATATAATTATTAAGTCCTATTTTACATTAGTATCTCTATTGTTCCTTTCTTCATTTACATCTTTAATCATCTAGAATTTGGGGGTCAGGTATGAGAACAGAGTATAATTGTATTTTTCTACAAGTGGGTTTGCCACTATGTTTTTTTAAAAAAATAAATCCATGCCTCAGTTTAAAATGAAATATTATCATCCAAGAATGTACTTTTTTTTCCAATTTGACCAAATCATCATCAGTTTATTTAAAATATAATTAGGAGTAGACATTGAGAAAATAAAACAATATGTTTCCAGACTAGACATTAAATATATTTAATTATACTAGTTAAAACATGTCATACTTGACAGGTCATTGACAAAGTATAAAAAGGAGCAAGACATGGCCAGAAATTTAACGATAAATAATAAAGCTCGCAATGATTTGAAGTTAATAGAGTTCATTGTGATTTGGAATTGAAGTCCAGCATAGAAACTTGACATGCCTCTTTCTTCATGTATTTTCACCGACGTTGCTTACTAGGTGTGCAGTTTTCTTCATACAGGACTTTGCACGAATTTCAGTGTTTTTCCCCCCATAGGAATTTTGATACTGTGCTTTAGATTTTTCCACAATATACTGATTTGCATCTTTATTTTTCCCCAGGAGGACAATCTATTCTGTGTATACAATGTTACTTTTTCTTCTGCATTTACACTATATATACCTGTAACTTACTTTTCTTGACCAATTGGGTTTGCTAGCATTTCCCTGCAGGATAAGTCAGATAGCAAACATGTGTTTGTTTTTCCTGATTTCAAAGGGTCGACATGTAATGCTACTAATAGCTGTTATGAGTTAAATACATGAGCGTCTGATACTTGCTGATACATACATGATCAGATTCAGTAAACCCTTAAACCCATGACGTTTTTATGTCATTTTAGCCATTTATAGCTGGAGACCCCAAGAATTAGACTGAGAAATGTTTCTGGGTCACATAGCTTAGAAGTAGCTGCATAACATAGTTTTGCCAGAGAAATACATACTTGAAACACCTAAGTGGCTGACTCTCAATTGTTTCTACTGTTTTTACTTAAAGAAAACTTTTTTCCTAATAATAATACCATCTTTCTCTGGTTAATGTTTGCTTCATTCTCTTTTATGCATCCTTACAACTTCCAGTATTCCTGTCTCTTTATTCTAGGTAAGTATCTTATATATAAATGGCCTATGAACAGATTGAGTTTTTAAACTATTTTTTAATGTTCTTTTGTTTTATTTTATTTTATTTATTATTTTATCTTTGAGAGAGAGACAGAGTGTGAGTTTGGGAGGGGCAGAGGGAGAGGGAGACACAGAATCCAAAGCAGGCTCCAGGCTCTGAGCTGTCAGCACAGAGCCCAATGTGGGCTCAAATTCATGAACTGTGAGATCATGATCTGAGCTGAAGTCGGCTGCCTAACCAACTGAGCAACCCAGGCATCCCTAGTTTTTAATCCAGTCTTAAAATTTTTGTCCTTTAACCACAGAGTTTATTTGCATTTATTTCCTACAATCTCTGTGTTTTCTCTTTGCATTTATTACTAAATCTCTGTGTTTTCAATCTGTCCTGTGTTTTACCTCTATTCTTACTCATCCCCCTACACATCATTTCTTCTTTCAAATTGAGGGGGTTTGCTTTTATTTTTTCCCCATTGCATTTTTCTCCTCTACCCTGGTTTGAAACTTTCACATTCTGCCTATTTTGAATAGTTACCCTTGAAATTTTGACCCATATACCAAAAAAAAAGTAATATTAATTCCTATATTTTAAGAAAATAGAAGGACTAGGAAGAGGGGAAAACAGGGAATGTTGTTCAGTGAGGAAAATAATTTCAGTCATGCGAGATGACAAGTTCTAAAGATGTACAACAAAGTATACGTAGTTAAAAGGACTCTTAACTAATACTATAATGTACACTTAAAAATTAAGAGGATACATTTATGTGGTTTTCTTACCACAATAATTTTTTTTAAGTCAAAGAAGAATCCTATAGCCTCTGAATAAATATTCCTTCATTAAAAGAAAAATTGAGCTCTTTAGTTTCCTATTAAGTGTCTCTCAGATTATATAACTATTTTTTCTTATACTTTAGCTCTGTCTTGTTTTTACTTATAATTGTACATGTCATATTGTTAACAATATTTTATAAAGTCAGTATTTTTTAAAATGTTTATTCATTTTTGAGAGAGAGAGAGAGTATCAGCAGGGAGAGAGGGAGACACAGAATCTGAAGCAGGTTCCAGGCTCTGAGCTGTCAGCACAGAGCCCAACATGGGGCTTGAACATTTTTTTCCTAGATAACATTTCTGGTATTTATAAACGCTATTTAAGTATGTTGATTTTATTTTGAGCAAACTTACTGAACTCTGTTCTTACTTTTTTTCATTTTCTATTTTGTGTTGATTGTGTTGGGTTTCCTAAGTGGATGATTATAGAATCATTGAAAAACTGAAGCCTTGTTTTATTCTTTCTGATTCTTAAGTCTATATTTTTGTTTTCTTTTAAAACAGTGTCTAGAAATTCCAGGACAGTATTTTTTAAAAAGTTGGTAAATAGTGTAGGTATGAGCATCCTTTTCTCATCAGCTCCGGCCGATGTTACCTCTACAATTGTTTGTCTATACACTACCTTCTTTCTCTGTACAACTACTGTTAGAGAAGTAACCGCCCATGTCTGAATGCTCCTTACCTCATTCAGGATCATTCCACAAAGAATGGAGGAAATCAGTCCTCCTACCATTCCAATTACAGTCGTCACTGCCTTAAGAAATCCGTAGTAACTGTGCAAAGAACAACGACACAACACAGTTGCAAAGTCAGACAAACGCTACAGGGAAAGCCAGCCTAATGACATGACGTGTAAGAGAGCTAACCGTTGATTTCCTGGATTTTTCACTCCTCCTTCTCAAATTCCATTAAAATGTCAAAAAAGTATGTCGATATAAGTAACTTTCGGTTGCAGTACAAAGTCAGAAAACTTGGCTTTCATAGTAAAAAAAAACATTAAGAGATTGAGAAAATGAGACCATAGCCGAGTGAAAGCCAGCAGGATTAGGAAATCTATAAACATGGTTGAGAAATTCAGAAAGTGACGTTTATTGGTAATGGCAACTGGCTTAGGGTCAATACCGAATTGAAGGACTCTATGTTCACCTGGTCTGTTCCCACAGCCCCAGGTCCTGGCCCCAGCGATTGCTCCCAGACCTCAGACAAGGAAGGCAGAAGCTTCGTTTCCAAACAATAGTGCTCAGCCAGTCCTGGGTACCCAGACCCGGTTCTGCAGAAAGTGAGCCACAAAAGCAGGGAAGCCACCGAGAATGACCAATAGACTAGGGGTCAAATCCATCAAGCCACAGAGAACAAGGGGGTGCCGTTCAGAGAGCAGAACCAGTGTCTTACCAAAAATTGAGTTCTCTCCTGGACGGGGCATCTCTGCCTTTCCTGACTGACAGATCTCACCAGTAAAGGTTCTGTGTTTTCTTTTCTTCCCTTTTATGAGATTGAGCGTTTTCTGTTGGTTTTGTTCTGTTCATTTGGTTTTATTTCCCTGGCTCGGTTTTATTCTTACTCTGCCTTTACGTGCTGGATGTGGGAGGCAGTATATAGTTTGTCCATTAGTTTCTGTGTCTTAAGAAAGGAATCACCAACGGACCCAGAGGCCCCGCCTGCAGCTGTATACAGTCAGTGGGCGGAAATTTGACTTGCTGGTTACGGGCAGCTAGAGAGTGTGTCCTAATGTACAAACGAGAACATTTACGGGTATGAGCAGCCACGGGTACAAATCGGGGCAGAAACCTCCAACTGTACCCAAATTTATAGTTCCCTGTTTCGTTTTGGCAAGAGGACCCCCAGGGTCATAAGTGGGAATTGGGCCACTTAGGACTTTTGTGAGCCTTTGTCACATTTGCCATCATGAGTCCTCTCCCCATAACAATATTAAAAATTAGGGGCGCCTGGGTGGCTTAGTCGGTTAAGCGTCTGACTTTCGCTTAGGTCATGATCTCGCAGTTCGTGGGTTCGAGCCCCGCGTCGGGCTCTGTGCTGACTGCCAGCTCAGAACCTGGAGCCTGTTTCAGTCTGTGACTCCTTCTCTCTCTGACCCTCCCCTGCTCGCGCTGTCTCTCTCTCTGTCTCTCTCCTAGAAATAAAAAAATAAAACATTAAAAAAAAATTAAAAATTATATTTTATGACTCTGTGTGTGTGTGTTGAAGGAATTTTCAGTTTCACCTGATTGTCAGATTTACAGCTTGAAGTTGTTCATAAAATTGTTTCCTTTTTATATGCTGTGACTTACCATAATGCGTACTTTGATATTACTGATATCGATAATTTTTCTGTTTTTCTTAATCAGCCTTCATTACATTATTGATTTTATTAATTCCCAAAGAACCAATGTGTGACATTGTTGATTTTCTATGACTTTTTTCCCTAATCTTCATAACTGGGAGAGAGGGCTAATTTGCTGCTTTTTTCCTAGCTGCCTGAGATAAAAACATGATTTTTGATTTGAAGACTTAACTGTCTTTCAATATATATGTTTAAAGCTACACATCTCTCTCTGGGCATGATTTTAAAAGGACATGCTTTGAAATGTCATATTTCATTATAACTTATATTTTCTTTTAAAATTTTTTTTTAATGTTTGTGTATTTTTGAGAGTCAGAGAGACAAAGTGTGAGCAGGGGAGGGGCAGAGAGAGAGGGAGACACAGAATCCGAAGCAGGCTCCAGGCTCTGAGCTCTCAGCACAGAGCCCGACGCAGGGCTCAAACCCGTAAACTGTGAGATCATGATCTGAGCTGAAGTTGGACGCCCAACCAACTGAGCCACCCAGGCGCCCCTAAAGTATTTCCTAATTCCAGTGGTGATTTCTTCTCTGCCTCAGACATTAATTTGAAAGCAATGGGTTATGTGTCATTTGGTCTTCATGGTAACCTTAATTCACTGCGATCTAAGAATATACAATAAGACCTTGGTTTGCGAGTTTGTCAGTTGCAATAATTGTACCGTAGGCAACGGTCCTCTCCTCGTTGAACATCGTGTCATGTTCCATATATGTCAACTAGGTCAAGCCTGTTACCTTTTGTTCTTGTCATTCTCGTCTTTCATGTCCTTACTAACCTGGTGCCTCCCTCTGATTTTGTACAAGCTATTGAAAGAGGTTATGAAAATTTCTCCCTTTATTGTATATTTGTGTAGTTCTTTGAGTCCTCTGAATTTGTAATGAATATAAATTAAAGCTGTATTCTTGGATTCAAACAGAGATATAATTCTGATATTTCTCTCTTCACCATCGTGAACTAACACTTTATTTCTAGTAGTGTTCTATTTTTTCTGCTACTGGCATAGTTGTTTCAGGTTTCTTTTGGTTAATATTTGCTTGGGATACTTCTCTCTATTCTTTAATTGCATCTGTGCTACGTCCTTATGTTTATTGTGTGGCTTTTATTTGTAGCAGGCTGCAATTTCCTTTATTATTGAGCTTGACAATCTTGATACTTACTTGGAATATTTCATCCATATTGGTTTCATATAATAACTGATATACTTGTGATTGTCTTTATCTGTTCACTATTTATTTTCTTTTTGACCTCCTCTTTCACATTCCACTTTTTCTTTCTTCTGGATTCAACTGTTTTATTTTGTTTTTCCTTCTATGACATTATTTCACTGTTGTTTACAAGCATTGAAGATATTATAGCATTTCCTTTTTACTTAAGTTTAGTGTGAATTATACTTTTACTCTTTTCTCTGTAACACCAGAAGCTTAAAACATTTTTCAGATTTTAATATTTTAACATTTCTGTATATCTCCCTCTTTGCATTATTGCATCTTTATTTTAATTCCTTAATGCAGTTTGTTTTGACATGCATTTCAGCTCACAAGGTATTCTCTACTGTTTTGCAAATCGATAGTCTCTATAATTACACATATATTTACTCTCCCTAATTGCTCCTAAGTCCTTCTAACATAATCAGGTTTCAATAGGGATAATTTCTTTTTAGCTGAAAATTTTCTTTTAGGATCTCTTTTAGTGAAGCTCCACTGGTGGCAATTTCTTTGTCTGAAAACATTTTTATTTTGCTCTGACTTCTGAAGAGTATTTTCACGAGGCATAAAATTCCGGGTTGACATTTATTTGTTTTTCGACATTTTATAGAGCTCATATCATCACCTCTGGATTTCATGGTTTCTATTGAAACCAGATGTCAGGCTGACTATTATACTACTTGAAAGAAACATGTCTTTTCTCTCTACCCCCTTTTAAGATTTTTCTCTTTGTCTTTGTTTTTTGGCATTCTTTTTTTTTTTTTTCTAGGAGAGAGAGACAGACAGCGTGAGCAGGGGAGGGTCAGAGAGAGAGGGAGTCACAGACTAAAACAGGCTCCAGGCTCTGAGCTGGCAGTCAGCACAGAGCCCGACGCAGGGCTCGAACCCATGAACCGCAAAATCATGACCTAAGCGAAAGTCGGACGCTTAACCGACTAAGCCACCCAGGCGCCCCGGCATTCTTTATATATATATATATTATAACTTACATTTCACATAGTTGAAATTCACAGAGCTTTGTGTGTGTGTTTGGTTTGCTGTCTTTCATTACTTTCATATTATTTGGGGCTATTTTCACTTAAAATACGGCTTTGTCACATTTTACCTCTCCTTTGCTTCTGAGATTCAAGTACAGATTCATTAGCCTTTTTACTTCATTCCACATTTCCATTTATTCTCTTTTCTTTTTTTTTTCTGTCTATTTCAACGTGGATATTTATTATGATATGTTTTCCTATTTACCAATCCTGTCTTCTCTTGTGGCTAATTTGTCATTAAACCTATCGATTAAGATTTTAATTGCAGACATTTTATTTTTCAGCTCTAGAACTGCCACTTGATTGTTTTTTTAGATTCTAATGCTGGTTGAATTCTTTATCTTTTCATCTCTTTTCTCGAGCTTTTCCCCCTTGTTTCTTGGGTATATTAATCATAGCTATTGTGAAGTTTTTCTTACCTGATAACTTCAATATCTGCATCAGTTATAGGACTATTTCTGATGCATTTTATGGTTATTGATCACATGGCCCTATCCCTTGTCATGCCTAGTAGTGTTTATGAAATGCTGGACATTGTGAATAGGAGCTATAGGGACTCCAAGAATATGTCGTACTTGGTGAGAAAAGATTCACCTTTTTCTCTAATAGATTTGGAGAGGAGGGAATGGGTCACAAATCTAATTACGGAATGAACTTAAGATGAGGCTAGGTTTCAATTTGCTAAGATAGGGTTTATCTCTAGGAGCCCCTTAGGTATTGAACTCCATGTTGTTAAATGGAGAGCTCAGTATATTCAGCCAGCTCCCTCCAGGCTTTGGTAGATCTTGTCTCCTTTGTACAGGTAGTACGGCAAATTCCGTCACTTGTCCCATCAAACTTCAGAGCTCAACAAATACCTCAAGGAGAGAAATGGACTTTACATTCTCTTAATTTCCAATGCTGTCTGTCACTCCAGCCCATGCAGCCAGATGCCTGGCTAATTTCTCTATCCAGAGCGGCCGCCTTCTCCCAGGGCCCAACCTGGATTATCAGCCATTTGCTGATTGGCAGGCGGCCCCAAGGAAAAAGAGGCAGAAATTGTCTGCTCACCTTGGGGGCGCTGCCTCCTGTGTCTTTGGTCTTATTGGCCTCAGCTATAGCCTGATGTCTTTTAATGAGTACTTCTGGTATTTTTTTAAAGATTTTTTTTAAAGTAATGTCTACACCCTGCATGGGGCTCCAACTTACAACCCCAAGATCAAGAGTCGCATACTCTATCGACTAAGCCAGCCAGGAGTCTCTACGTGTGGTACTTTATTTGGTCTTCAAATTTTTCCCACCTGGAATGTCAGTCACCCACAGCTGCTCAATTGTATGTGGAAGCTGAACAGTTTTCTCAAATTTTGCTTTGCAGTTGGAACATGTTAGGTGCATAGAAACTTAGAGAATTATATCTTCTAGTGAATTAAAATAATTTTTAAAAATTCTTTTCTCTAGTAATGCATCTTGACTTAAAGTCTACTTTGGCTGGCCTGTTTTCCTTTATTTTGCTTTTAGTTTATTATATTTTGGTTTTGTTTTTATTTTAATCCAGATTAAGTTAATTTGGAAGATATAGTCCTTTTCTGTTTTCTGTTTTTCTGATACATTTGACTTAAAATGATCATCATTCTCTTTTCTCCACCTATTTTATGTTCCTTTTTAAACTTCACTATTTCTTTTTCATTGTTTTTTAAAATATTTTCTTTACACTTTTATTATCCTTCAATAGTTACCCTAGAGGTTAAAATATATATTCTTGACTTATTTTAGTTTAATATAAATTAATATTTTTGCAAATTCCCACTAATGAAAGTATCTTAGAACACATATTCACATATTCATTTATGCCTTTTTATCTTTTGTGCTATTTATTGTTGTGCATTTTAATTTACATATTTTTATACCCTAATGATATTGTCTTCATTTTGTGAATGAAGTCCCTAGTCGGAGAAGTAAACAGAATCCTCAGTGTCGAGAATCCTGAATGCCTTGACAATTCCTCTGAGAACACGTCCCATCCGTAGGATAAAGCAGGTTTTTTGAGCCAAGAGTGGCAAGGGGAAAATGTGTTATGCTCTCATCGTCCTGCCATTCGGTTCTCAAACAGTAAGTGTCCGGTATGGAAAACAAAAACAACCTTGACATTGCTCTAATGTAGGATATTTTTCTGGACAACTATCTGCTCTAAACTTGCTCGTTCCTGAGCTGCAACAGTCTGTGGTCAAAAGCATTTGGGAAGTTTAAATAGCCACTGAAGTAGACTTTCAGTTTTATTAGTTTTATATTTTGACATATTATGATTTAATAGAGCCCAAATAAGATTCTGACATGGAGGGAAATTCAAGGGAGCACAATCCATCAAGTCAAAAATTATTAAAAGGGGGGCACCTGAGTGCCTCAGTTGGTTAAATATCCAACTTTGGCTCAGGTCACGATCTCACAGCTCATGAGTTCAAGCCCCACGTTGGGCTCGTGCTGACAGTGCAGAGCCTGGAGCCTGATTTGGATTCTATGTCTCCCTCTCTCTCTCTGCCCTCCCTCCCTTGCTTGCACTCTATCTTTCTCTCAAAAATACATAAACATTAAAAAAGGTTTTTAATAAAAATAAAATAAAATAAAATAGGCAGAACAGTAAAGAGAGCAAAAGATCTTGCTAGACAGATCCGGATTAAAATCATAATTAAGATCCCAAACCAGTGGTGAGATCTTAGGCTGACAAGTATCGGACCCTCAGTTTCCTTATTAAATATGTATTTTTACTAACTGGGGGGGGGGGTCATGAAGATTCATAATGTATACACGGGTATACACCCACAATAGCAATGGAGCAACTGACCTTTATACAGTGTTCACAATGTGACAGGTGCTCGTCTGTGTATTTAACCTATGCTAATGTACTTAATCTCATAACCCTATGAGGTAAGCATTCTCTGATTGCCCCCATTATATAGGCATGAAACAGGCACAGGGAAGGTAAGCACTTTGCTTGAGCAGAGTGTTCATGTCATTATTGAAAGCAAACCTTCCAACTTTAGAATCTGTGCTCCAAATCACTAAGTTGCAAATATTAATATATCATTAGGTACATAATCATTACTTCAGGCATATGTCTGAACTATATTGATGCTTCTTCGGGAAGCATTCTGGCCTGCTGGCCATGAGCTCCAAAACAGTGGAAACCTTAAAACACCCTTGAGAGCCTGAATACAAGAAAGAGATGTTTCCAACCCTACCTGGGAGCAATATCCAAGCCATTTATAAGTAGCCCGCCCATGCAAAAGCTTCCTGTGGAAGCAGTGAGTATCAGGAAAACGACGGTGCTGTAGAAGCTGAAACTCAGGTACATCAGGCACAGGCCGAAGAAAGGAGGCAGGAGAAGCCCTGGAAAGCGATCCGGACAACACAGTTAGGGGCGACCCGAAGGCGGCATGAACTCCCAAGTGCTGGAATGTCCCCACTGTCCCTTACCTAGCGTGTTGAAGAGTTTCCGGATGGTATTTAAGCCGAGAATGTTCCTGGACAGGAAGAAGTCTGAAGTGTGACCAGCGAGGATCCCAAAGCTCCAGGCAAACAAATAGGGGAGGGCCGACAGCAGCCCGTTCTGAGGAGGCAACGTCCTTATGAGGGCAGGTGTGAGGGAGAGAGCTGTCCCCACATTGGACATTTGGACTGCCGTTCGAGAACCCATCAGCGTGCAACCCCAGAATTCCGACTTGGGGCCACACAGTCCAAAAGAGGAAAATAGTTTTGAGGTCAAAACAGTCGTCACAGGGCACCTGGGGGGCTCAGTGGGTTGAGTGTCCAACCCTTGATTTTGGCTCCAGTCCCACGTCCAGCTCTGCGCAAAGCATGGAGCCTGCTTGGGATTCTCTCTCTCTCTCCCTCTGCCCCTCTCCCCTGCTTGTGCTCTCGCTCTTCCTCTAAAATAAATAAATAAATACATAAATAGTTGTCACAGTATGTCTGGTTTTCTATTTTTAGTATCACGGCAACTGAAAGTTCTGGATAATAGAGATGAAGACTACATTTGGGAATAGAGAAAGCAGGCTCTGGGGAGAAAGAGTGAATATAACAATTACAAACATTCTTTGGGTGCTTATTTGGGATGGCTGCTATTAATCCTTTCAATCCCTCTATGGTCTCAGAAGGGACAAAATTGAATCAGAAAGAGCTTAAATGACCTCACTGTTACGTTGGCCCCTAGGCTGGGTTCCTGGACGTTCACTGCAGAATGCCACTCTGAACATTCCATTTCTATAAGACTCTTTTCTGGTTACCATGGCGTCGAACATAAGTTCCAGGCGTCAACGATTCTCTGAGTCAGACAAGCAATGATAGTGCCCATCCTTTCAAAGCAAGACCTGAATCATGGGTTCTCAACCCAGGACTCATCGCCTTATCCTAAGAGACAGGATGGGTGTGAGCTGGGCAGGGTGGCAGGGAAGGAGTAGTCTCTGTAGGGAACGATGGTGTTGAGCCTTCAGTACTATGTTTGGACGTGAATGGCAGGTAAGGCACTGTGGGAACAGCAGTGTGTTTTGTGGAGGCCAGAAACTGTGCCCCCACCTTTTGTTCCGGGAAAGGTTGACACAAAAATTGGGAACAGTGAGTCCCCAGGTTCAGAGCATCAGCTAGATAGTGTAGAGAGGCCAAGAGCCAGGACTAGCGTCATGAGAAATTTCATCAAGTTGTAAGGAGAACAAAGGTATACTTACCTCTTTTACATTCACGTGAAGGTTGGAGTTAACAAACATCGGAGTGTAGAAGAGCATGATGGTATTTGTCCAGTGAAAACTAAAAGTACCGACCACAATGGCCCAGAGTGGGAGAGACTTGACCATGGCCTTGATTGGCAGAGACCGTGTACTTGAGCTGCTCTGGGAACAAACAAACAGACAAACATGAACTGTTAGCACATTAGGAGAAGCTGGCCCACGGTTCTTCCAGCATGGAATCTGGGAGCTGGCCCCGGGGGGCAGCTGTGTCCTACCTGCTGCTGGTGGAGGGACGACAGGATGTAGTTCCGCTCACTGACGCTTATACATGGATGGGTCTTGGGGTCGTCGTAGAACAGAAGGAACCAGAGAAGACTTATGCCACAGCCACAGGCCCCTATCGAAGTAGAACAAGTTGGAACTGAAATTGCTTCTGTCTGTAGGAAGTGTCCTTCCCACACTGGCATTTTTCATTATCGGTCCTGGACCTCCTCTTTCTTCTTTACAACGTTACAACAAGACTTGCGTTTTTGGTTGTCCTCTGTATCTAAGGCTGCCTCTGCCTCCAGAATGAATTTTGCAGAAAGGGCAGTAAGCCCTCTGGCCTCTCTGATGGAGCCTCTGTATCCCTCTGCTCATGAGAGGGGCCTCACTGCTCTTAGGCCCTCACCCCTGCAGCTCTATGACAGGCTCCACACTGAGAAGATGGCACAGCCGAGCCCTCAAAGGGCTCGACAGTCATCTGGCTTTGGGAGTTTGCATCTTGGCCATCATCCCAAGATATAGCCCAGGCCTGAGGGATTATACAAGTCCTCCATGACTTTGCCAAATGATTTGTCATTTTCAAGTGTTTTATACTATTGACTTCCGTTAGGAATCGTCTGTTAGGACAGGGGGTATAGTGCCCATCAGTCTGTCTTCCAGAAGTGCCTTCTTTCATTTGACAAAGAATGATTAAATGCTCACTATGTGCTCACTATTCTAGGTCCTGGGGATGCAGCAGTGGGTCAACCAGACAGAAATTTGTCTTTGTGCAGTTTAGGTTCTAGTGGATGAGAAAGAGAGCAGGAAAAGTAAATAAGTAAAAGGTGTTAAATGTCAGTGGCAAGAGTTGTAGGAAGAAGTTGTGGGGGAGGAAGCGAGGTGTATTGTGCTCTGTGGAGGCTGGGACGTGGATGTGGGACAAGGACACTCCAGGCAGAGGGAGCAGAGAGCGCCAAAACCTTAGGGTATGAGGTCAGTATGACTGCAGAGGAAGCAAGGGGTATGGGGGTTGGATAATGAGAATAACGGGTAATGGGATCAGACCACATGGAAAGCTGGAGCCGTGGTAAGATCTCAGACTTTTACAACACTGTTTCAGCAACATTAACACTGTTTACAGGGGTGCCTGGGTGGCTCAGTCGGTTAAGCGTCCCACTTTGGCTCAGGTCATGATCTCATGGTTCATGTGTTTGAGCCCCGCGTCAGGCTCTGTGCTGACAGCTCAGAGCCTGGAGCCTGCTTCGGATTCTGTGTCTCCCTCTCTCTGGCCCTCCCCTGCTCGTGCTCTGCCTTCTCTCTCAAAAATAAATAAACATTAAAAAAATTTTAAAGCATATTGACAATATACAATTCCCACCTCATTCTGTGGCCTGAGGACCTAATCTCAAGGTGAAATGTTAGTGGAGAGAAGTGAACACCTAATAAATGTGCAATACATACATTTCTATATAACATCTTCAACGCTCAGAAAACTCCTCTGGTGCTGTTAGCTCTTTTTCAAAATGAGAATATTGATGTGCAGAAAGGCAAGCTTGCTTGTGTGGGGACATGTGGTTAGTAAGTGGTCACTGACACTTAGCATGAATTACAGTTTTAGAGAGGGAAGATGATCTAGAGGATTAGTCTGGGGCAGAGCTTTGAAGGACGAGTTCATGGCAAGGAGAAGAGCAAAAGTTTGCACAAGACTGAGCAGGAAGGGCCGGAAGAATGACGTCCAGACAGAGAGTCAGGCAGAGGCCCCTACGGTATTGTTGGGTATGATTGAGAGGTCAGGTCAGATGTGGGCTGAAGCCTTGATTTCTGGGCCTGGAGGCTTGGCCAGCTCTAATATTCGTGAGGCCCGGGGCAAGACACAACACATTTAGAAGTTGTAAATAAAGCTACTGATTGGTAATACACTTGAATGTAATATGTCTTCCCATCCTGTGTTCACCACGATAACTTCAGAATGACCTGGATAGAGACTTCTGGTTTCTGATCCAGCATGTTAAGAAACTTGGAAGTCATCCCTCCCATCTGTTAAAGAAAAATGTTTAACAGACCAAAACTCAACAACTCTTCTTGGATCCCTCAAGAGTTGGGGTCATAAGGCAAGCTATGGCTTCCCAAATTGGAGAGACGGATAGGTGGATACAGAGAATTACAACTCCATGGAAGAGAGCCCTGAGCATAAAACTGCATGGGAACCGGTACCAGGGTAGGAAAACTGATTAAAGGATTAATTGGGGTAGGCTGTGTGGACAAATTTAAGAGGTTAAAAAATCTGGGGTAGGGAGGAGTTCTAGAGGGACCCTCATGCTTATTGTGAGTTTTACCTCCAGGAGACCAGAAGTGGAGATCAAAGAAAAATGCCTACCTCCTAATAGCCGGGAAAGGGAGAGCGGCAGTCTGAATTATGCCTAGAGCATTCTGTTCTTAGCAAAGCCAGTTGTCAAGGGAAACTTTTACTGAGCCTAACCAACTTAAGGGAAGGGAAATACTTACCTCCAACCCCCTCTGGCCTTCCTGTCTCACCCAATGGATGGAAAACTGAGACGGACTTGTAAAGGAGAAGCCCAGAGGCATAGCTCACTGGAAGATTGAGACTAATCCTATGACTATAGAACACTCTATCCTCCACACATCTTACCACCCCATCGGTTCTTTCCCTGTATGCAAATGGGAATCAAATGGAAAAAACTGCATGTCTCAAACTTTATTTAAGTAGCCTATGAAAACACAAAAACAAAGAGGAAATTGTAGCCTCTGAAACTTACAGCTATTGCAAACAGTAAGCAACACCTAACTTCTAGCCAAGCCAAATAAACATAAAACCTCATATCGAGGGGCTGCATGGGTGGCTCAGTTGGCTGAGCATCCAACTATTGATTTCAGCTCAGTCATGATCTCACAGTTCGTGGGATCGAGCCCCATATTGGGCTCCGTGCTGATGGCATGGAACCTGCTTGGGATTCTCTCTCCCTCTCTCTCTACTCTACCCCTCTCCCACTCTCTCTTCCTCTCTCTGTCTTAAAAATTAAAAAGGAGAAGTTAATGTGATTGACTATGAGATGGCACTCTAGATCATGTTTACTCATCATAATTAACATAAATAGTATAGTCATCATATTATCTTTCTGGAATCTGAAAAATGATCTATTCTGTTCATCCCTTTCTCCAAGAGTTTCATATAAGGGGTATGAATCTGTACATTACAGAATTGTGGAGGTGAGGTACACTAACACATGTATATTTCTGCTTGGAATGTGAAATTAATGAATGCTGACCTCTTACCCCCAATAAGATTAATAATTTTTAATGTCATTAACTTTATATTAATTATTACATTATAGTCAGGTTTTTTTAGATTTTTTCAATTCTGAATAATGACTGGGATTTTACAGAGACTCACCAAAAATATAGAAGACCATGGGCCAGCCCAGGGATTGGCAGATGAACCCAGTCACAAGCAGAACAATGAAAGACCCCAGCAGAATTCCTAATCAGAAAGCACAAAGAACACACCTAAGGAGCACAGGCATTGAACATAGAGATAATGTAGCATCACAGTAGCAGTGAACAATTTCTGGTAAAATACATTTGTAGAGCAAAACACTGGGCAGAAGAAACGAATAAAATATTTGCTTTTCTCTCTCTCTCTCTTTTTCTGTTGCTTGAGATACAGAAGTCTCTTCTTCATCCCAGGCAGTCTCCACATCTTTAAAGCGAAGTTGCTGCCACAGATGGTTTACAAAGCCCTGGACAGTTTAAAACACACGTCCTTTCCAGCTCTAGGAAGAACCCGGTACAGTGAGATGGCTGTGGCACTCAAACCTTGTAGGTAAAGGTCATTACCTGATAGACTCAGGGAGGTAAGTCGGCCTCGTTCCAAGGGAGGAGCCCACTTGACCCATATCACGTGCTGCGCTATTAATGCCGACCCCTGAAATTACAAGGATTAGGACATCTGATCTCTGATGCTTCCTATGAATTTAAACCGTGCTCACTTGTTGCATTATTTTAATACCTGGAAAACTCCCTGTGCTGCCCGGCATGCAATGATCCAAACTTCTCCACCTTCAGCGGCCATCGGCAGGATCAGGCTAAATAGAGAGCTGAGGAACAATCCAGAGCCAATCATTTTTTTGATGGAGTATTTTTCAGACAAGTATCCCACAGGAATCTGGATGATGAGTATGCCATAGAAGATGGAACTGAAGATGATGCCCTGTGTTTTAGGACTCCAGTTGTACACAGGGTTCTGGGGGGGAAGAAAGAGGAGACACGTGGAGGCATTCTGCATACTGGAGAGGGACACTGGTCTGCAGGCTTCCTTGGGGTAAAGGAGCTCACCTCTGCCTCATTCTCTATCGTGGGACCTTTGCTGCTCCTTTATAACATCATTTCCTATGTGTACTGACATTTCACATTGGTCTCTTCAAGTCTAATGTCAAGTTCTTATGCCATCTCTACCGTCAGTACAGTGTAGACATTTAATACTTATATTCCTGGAACACTGCTACTCTGCATGGCAAGTGTTCCATGGAATACTATACTTCGCACAACCATTAATCACCTCTTGCCTTCTGTCTTCCTCCAACTCCTCTATTAACTTACCCTCATTCCCCAAACAGACATTTCCCCACATACATACTATTCCTGAGGAGAAAAACAGTCATTGATCAAATCTTGAAGAAAAGGTGTCAGGCTGAACTGTGAAGATCATTAGATGAGACAGTGAAGGAAGAAGGTCAACTCTCTTTTTGTGCTTGGTTCTCTCTTTTTCTAGAATGTTCTGTCTTGTTTTTCCAAAATCTTCCCCTGAGTCTTGTCAATCCACTTGTATTCGCTGCTCTACTGCCTGAGCCACCCTCCTGTCGTGGGGCCATCTCTGCTCTGAGCTCCTGTGCCTACTGACCTGTGGTGTTCCACCCATAAATATAATGGCCTCCATAGTTTTTAGGTGCATTTTGTAATTTCAGGTTACAATTCAGATCTGCACTGTGGAAACAATTTTCGGGTGAGATTTCATGGTTTGGGATATTGACACGCTGTATTTTCTCTCTCTTTTTCCATCTAGTACCTTTGTATGACAGCGAAGAGAATTCCTTTTGTGTGACTCTGATTTGAAGGAGATCAGTTTCCCTGGATTATAGCAGGATCTTCTAGAGGGGCTCTTTTGTTATAGCAAAGGGTTCAGTACCCTCCTCCCTGAGTACCCATTTTCTCTAGACTATGGGGTTCTCAATATTTAAACCAAAACAATGGAATACTACAAATGTTTTAGAACATAATTCAAGAAAAAAATTGGACAAAAAGATTGCAACAGATTTTTGAGAGACAAATGATGCAATAAACTGCATACTTAATCTTTGGCATAAAGTGTACAACTTGATACATTTTTAGTTATGTGCACACTCATGAAACCATCACCACAGTCAAGGCAATGAATGTCTTCTTCACCTCCAAAAGTTTCCTTACTTCTTTTTGTAATTCCTCCACCCTGTTCTCCCACCACTGACCTCCTGCCTGTCACTCTGATGTAGTTTTTATTTTCTATAAATTCGGCTTACTCATTTTGAGTTTTATCCATTTATTTTTATCATTCATTTATTTTTAGCATAAGTAGTCCTCTGTTCTATGACTGTACTGTAGTTTGTGTGCCCATTCATCTGTTGAACCTTTCTATTGTTTCCAGTTTGGGCTATTACAAATAAAGCTACTGTGAGCATTTGTGTACAAGTCTCTGTATGGACATATGCTTTCATTTCTCTTCAGCAGATACCTGGCATGAGATGGGGGGGATCATATTGTAGGTGCATGCTTAACGGAAGTGATTATACCATTTTACATCCTCCCCAACGATGTTAGAAGCTTCCAGTTCCTCCACATTCTTGGGAACACTTGGTATGTGCAATCTTTATCATTTTAGCCATTTAAATTCGTGTATAGTAGTAAACCTATATGGATTTAATTTGCTTGTCCCTAATGACTAATGATGTGGAACATCATTTTGTGGGTATTTGCCATCCATGCCTGTATCTTCCTTGGTGAAAAGACTGTTCACATTTTTCTCATCTTTTTGTTTAATTTTTATCGAGTTTTGATAGAATTCCTTTATTAGATAGAATTTGCAAACATTTATCCCTGTCTCTTGTCTTTTTATTCTGTCAATTTTAGTCTGTCTTTTTATTCTGGCATTTTATTCCATTCTTTGGAATGGAGTGGAGTCCAATTTTATGTCTTTTCTTTTGTGGATCATGAAAAAATTACGAGTTTACATTTGTGTGAGTCTATTTCCTAACTCTCTACTCTATTTCATTGACTGTCTTTTGTGAGCTATACCACACTGTTTTCATTACTATAGCTTTACGATTAGTCTTAAAATCAAGTAGGTAGTATTAGTCCTACAAATACTGACTTTTCAATAAACATTCAAAAACAATTCAGTGGAAAAGGAAGACTCTTTTCAACAAATGGTGCTAGAACAATTGTATAGCCATATGTAGAAAAGAATCTTCAACACTACATATATAAAAATTAAGTCTAAATGAATCATATATTTAAACATAAAACCTAAAAGTATAAAAGTTCTAGAAGAAAACACAACAAAAAAAGTAGTTTTCTGCCTTGTGCTTTGCAAAGATTTCTTAGGTATAAAAATGAAAGCATTACCCACAAAAGAAATTTTAATAGAAGTTCTTTCTGCAGAAAGAAATGAAAGAGCTCAGAAACATGGATCTATATTTAAAAAGGAAGAGTATAAATCAAGAGATAAAATATTTTATTTTGGAAGTGCCTGGGTGGCTCAGTTGGTTGAGTGTCTGACTCCTGATTTTGGCTCAGGTCATGATCCCAGGGTTGTGGGATTGAGCCCCGCCCTGCATCAGGCTCTGTGCTGAGCATGGAGCCTGCTTAGGATTCTCTCTCCCTCCCTCTGCCTCTCTCTCTCTAAAAATGAATAAAAAGAATAATTTATTTTGAATTAATCTAAAAGATAACTATTTGTTTAAAGCAGTAATGTAATCATGTATTTATTGCATGTGTTTGGTGAAATGAATAACAGCACCTTTCCCAAGAGATGGGAGAGCAAACTTAGGAATACTGTGTTATAAGGTGCCTGCAATGCACATGAAGCAGTTTGTTATTATTTGACAGTGGATTTGGATGATTAAAAATGTATATTGTAAATGCTGAGGCAACTGCTAAAACAGGTGTCTTTTGGTAGTGCTTGAGTGGGTCACTTGGTTAAGCATCTGACTCTTCATTTTGACTCAGGTCATGATCTCATAGGTCATGAGTTTGAGCCCCATGTCAGGCTCGCACGGACATTTCAGAGCCTGCTTGGGATTCTCTCTCTCCCTTTTTCTCTGCTCTCCCCTACTCACTCTTGCTCAAAATATATAAACTTTTTAAAAAATAAAAAATAAAATGAAACAGGTGTTTTTTTAAAGATGCATGAAAAGAAAAAATAAAATTGAATCATGTATAAAATAATTAAACCCAGAGAAGGCAAAAAAGAGAATTAAAATAAAGAAACAAAGAAGAGATGTAACAAATAGAAAACATTTATGAATTTTATATTTGTCTCTTTCTCATTTCAGTTCTAACAGTTTTCACCTTCTGTATTTTGCTGCCCTGTTGTTAGGGACATGCATGTTCAGGATTATTATATCTTTTTGGACATTGACTCCTTTATCATTAGGTAATACCCCTTTATCTCTGATCATCTTCCTTACTATAAATTCTGCTTTGCCTGAAATTAATATGTCTACTTAAGTTTTCTTTTGATTAGTGTTTTCATGGTTGGATAATGATTACATCTTTCTTTATCTCTTTACTTTTAATCTATTTGAGTCTTTGTATTTATGAAGAGTTTCTTGTAGTCTCCATATCTTAGGGCCTTTATTTCTTTTTTTTTTTTTTAAATAGTTTATTGTCAAGTTGGTTTCCATATAACACCCAGTGCTCATCCCCACTTAGGGCCTTTATTTCTTATCAATATCTGATCATTTCTGTCTTTTAACTGGGCTGTGTAGACCATTCATATTTAAAACGATTATTGTTATAGTTAGATTAAAATCTACCATTTTTTAACATTTGTTGTATGGCCAGCCTGCTGGCAATAAATTACTTTGGTTTTTATTTGCCTGAAGTAGTCTATTCTCTTTCACTTTGGGGGTAATTTCATCAGATATAGAATTCTATTTTGGCAGACTCTTTTTTCTTTCAACACTTTAAATATTTTTTTTTTCCCTTCTCTTCTTGTTTGAATGGTTTCTGATAAGAAGTCTTCTATAATTCATATCCTTGTTCTTCCGTAAGTGAGATATTTTTCTCTCTGGCTTCAATTAGGATGTTCTCTTTGTCTTAGTTTTCTGCAATTTAAATATGTCTAATTTGTTTTTCTTGTTGTTAGTTATTTGCCTTTTTCATATTTATCCTGTTTGGTGTTCCCTGAGCTTCTTGGACTTGTGATTTGGTGCCTGCCAGTGATTTTGGAAAGTTTTCAGCCATGAGTTTGTCAAACATTACTTCTTGAGATTCTATCTGCCGCTCCCCCACTCAGGTGTGCTCTCTCCTTCTCTCTCAAAATAAGTAAATAAATAATAAAAACATTTTAAAAAATGTGACTTCTTGCCACTATCTTCCTTCTGGTATTCTAGCCATTCATATGTTATATACATCTTGATATTACCCACCATTCTGGGATAGTCTATTAAGCTTCCCTCCCAAACTCTCCATCCTTTCATTTCAGCTTTGGGAGTTTCTTTTGACCCATATTCAAGTTCACTGATTATTTCCTCAGCTGTGTTGAGACTACTTACGAGCTTATTAAGACATTATTTATTTCTATTACAGTTGCCTTGATTTCTATTATTTCTTTTTAATTCTTCCTTATAGTTCCCATCTCTGCTGACATTACTTATCTGGTGGCATGCCAACTTTTTCCATTAGCGCTCTTAATATAATTAATTAATAGTCAGTTTAAATTCCCTGGCTGGGAGGGACGCCTGGGTGGTTTAGTTGGTTAAGCATCCGACTTTCGCTTAGGTCATGATCTCGCGGTTCGTGGGTTCGGGCCCCGCATCGGGCTCTGTGCTGACTGCCAGCTCAGAGCCTGGAGCCTGTTTCAGTCTGTGACTCCCTCTCTCTCTGACCCTCTCCTGCTCACGCTGTCTCTCTCTCTCCTAGAAATAAATAAAACATTTAAAAAAAAAATTCCCTGGCTGGGAGTGCCTACATATGTGTCATACCTAAGCCTGGTTCTGATGATGATGATGCTAAAAAAAATTAAGGGGTGGTACATTGCATGTAGTGTGGTATTTTTTTAATGTAAAAAATGGTGAAAATTTTAAAAAAAGTTCATGTTTCCTATGCATTCATAAAAGAAGATAGGAAGAATCTAGTGAAAAAATATTCTCCCCATTCATTTCCATTTTTTCCCTGTTCTACATCTTCTGACAGCTAGCCATTCATGACCTTATTACCTTCCAGAGATGAAATTAGTGGAATAGTATGTAAATATACTGTATATTCAGAAACTTTTTTAAAAAATGTATCTTGAACTCCACTCTGGTTGAAAATGCTTTCTTTTTTTCTTCTTTTTTGCTGGGCCAAACTTCTCAATTCTATACACCCTAATGCTTGTTTTTTTTCTTCTTCACATAGAAGTATTCACACACCAAAGCCCTTTATGAATATTGAGGAATGCTGTAATCATGGGGCATGTTTAGTTAGGTTATTATCAGCAAGGGGTGAAGACTTAAACTTCTTTTTCTAATTATTATTGTCCCATCAATTATGATAACATTCAGTCTCTACACAACTTAATTAGAAGATAGGATTTTAAACTTACAGAGACGGGCAGATCTTTCATATACCTTTATGACATCCAGGTTCTCCTCCGTGGAGCTGTTGGGCACACCGTGTGGGTCTGTGCTGTTCACCATGACTACCATTGTGAGGCTCAGACACATGCGCTGGGACATTATGATGCTGTTACAGGCGTGCAAGAGAAGAGACAGTCCATAGCGGAAGGAACAAAAACTTGGGACTAAGAAGTAAAACAGAGAGTGTCCATCGTTAACATAGCTGAGGTAAAAACATGCGGTAACTTCAGGAAGGGAACTCAGAAATTGGGAGCCATATATGTTATGTTATGTTACGTTACATTACGTTACGTTACGTTATGTTACGTTACGTTACGTTACGTTACGTTATGTTATGTTATGTTATGTTATGTTATGTTATGTTATAAGAAATTATGATACAACCAGAAGCTGTGTGACTGAAATAATAATCCCATACCTCCCTAAAATATAATCCCAACAAGAATGTCCTAGAAAATTAAACCAGCCCTCCAGATACTTTGGCTCATTCCTATTTTATAGCGAGCACTTACAAATACTCTGCATTAGTCTTGGAAGTAAGCCCCCACCACCCTCCCACCCCATAAGAGCAAAGACTTTCTCTCAAGGAAACTGCTTCATTCTCTTAAGTTGTATGAATAGTCTGGTTGAGAAACTCAAATATGCACACTGCTGAGAAAACTGGCATTTAAAAATCGCAATAAAAATTTACTTATTGAGGTCGTTTTAGGTGAAAATAATCAGTGTAGAATAAATGCACTAATGCGATTCAGCGAAGCCAAATAAAGTCTTTTTCAACAAATGGCATTTTCCCAAGAGAAATAGCAACATACGTCTACAAAAAGACATGCCAAAATGTTTATAGCAGCTTGTTCAAAGCAGCTGAATGTTTGGAATGGATGAATAATATATTATAATGTTATAATATACCGGGTTATATTAATATAATGGGCATTACTCAGAAATAAAAAGGAAGGAAATACACACTCAACAATCTGGATGAATCGCAACAAAAATATGCTCAGTTTAAGAATCTATAGACACCCAAGAGGGCATACTAGCGATACCTATTCTTATGAATTTCAAAAACATGCAAGATTAATTTGTGGTGGTTAGATATTAGAATAGCAATTTCCTCTAGGTGAAGAACCAGAAAGGGACTTGGTGACACTTTTAAAGTAATGTAATATTCTAAGTCGTGTTGACAAATCTAGCCATTTGTCAAAACCCATCTAAAGGTACACCTAAGATCTGTGATTTTATTGTATGTAACTGTACTTCAATCAATCTTAAAAAGGTACTGAGCAACCATGATCATATATCAGATTGGCATAGATCCCAAAGCCCATTGGTTGGCCAGCTCCAAAGAATAGAAGAGAGAACCTAATTGTTACAACCCAATGGAGGGTAATTTGGTGTCTCTTTAGTTTCATCTTTTAATTGCCTGTGGCTGGTATAAAGAAAGGAATTAGGCGGTGCCTCGGTGGCTCAGTTGGTTAAGTGCCCAACTTCGGCTCAGATCACGATCCCTTGGTTCATGGGTCGAGCCCCGCTACGGGCTCTGTGCTGACAGCTCAGAGCCTGGAGCCTGCTGCGGATACTCTGTCTCCCTCTCTCTCTGCGCCTCCCCTGCTCATGCTCTGTCTTTCAAAAATGAATAAATGTTTTAAAAAAATTTTTATTAAAAAGCAAGGAATTAAGCTTTTAAAAATTGATACTGTATCCAGGCAGCTAGCCAAAAGTCACTCTTGTTTCTAAAAACTCATCTGCTAATTTGGGGAGGTTTTCTATGTGGGGAATATTTAAACCTGATGATATTACTGGCTCTTCTGCTATCCTCATGTCTCTAATCTCTTGTTTTCATTGGATCAGAACCACCAGTGAATTGTTGACTGCACTTAGCCTCCCTGGCTTTCATACCACTGTTCCTGATTGACACCGAGTAGCTCTAACGTTTCTACAGTTGAGATAACGCTTGCTTGCTGAAGGTTTTGTCCCAGATGTGCCTGCTAAGCGTGCTCCTTTTCTATTGCTATGTAAAAACAAAGTCTGCAAACCTAACGGCTTAAAACAACAACCATTTACAAACACAGCTCTGCAGCAGAGACGTTTTAGCCTAGAGTTAGCACAGCACAGCTAGGCTTTCTGCTCATGGTCTCAAAGGCTAAAATCAAGGGATCGGCCAGGCTGAGCTCTCAGCTGAAGGTTCTAAGCAAGGACCTATTTCCATTCTCATTCAGGTTATTGTAAGAATTCAGTTGTCCATGGGCCTGCTACTGAGGTCTCCATCTCCCCGCTGAGGAGGATAATTTCCCTACCTTAAGACCAGTTCATTTGGGACCATATTTAAATCTGCTAAATCCCTTCAGGCAGCACCTCGCTTAGTGTTTGCTTAAATGACTGGCGGAAGGTGCGTATACACCAGGGGCCAGAGTCTTAGATTTCTAGCCACCACGGTCCAGCCTCTGGTCCTGAAAGGTTCATGTTCATCCTCCATGCAAACCACATTCGCCCCCTTCCATGGGTCCTTAAAAGTCTCATCTCATAATACAATATCTGCTCAAGTCCACTGCCTCCTCAAAATCTCATTAGCGCAAAGTCACAGATCTCATCACCGAAGTGATCTCAAACCCAGGTGAAGGAGGGTCCTAGCAATAATCCCCATGGGGCACAATATTTCTGTGTCTGTGGACTTAGGGAAGGGGGAAGCAAGTTACATTTCCCCTTCCTCCTGTCACACACCCTGCGGCAGACACTGGGTAGTTGTACAGATGTTCCAGTCCGGAAAGGGGGAGAGAGAGGGTAAAAGGGCATTGCTGACTCCGGAATGTTTTGAAGTTCAGCTAAACAAATGTTGGATTTGCTGCTACGTTAAAAAAAAAAAAAAAAAAAAAAAAAAACGGCAGTAATGCTGGAAAATTAGTTTTCTGCACTTATTTACCTTTGTAAACATAAAACTATTAGGTGAAATATATTCAAAATTAAATATGTCCTTAGAAGTGTGTCTGATCTGCCAGAAAAAATGAAATATTCAGGCCAAGAGTTTAGTGAGAACGGGCTCCTCAAGGCATACACTGAGCAGTGAAGGCAGATTTGTCCCTGAAGGCATTCGATCTCCGTGTTCTTTGTTTCTGTTTTTGTTTTGTTTTTGGTTTTGTTTTTGTTTTGCCTCCCTGGGCTCGGGGACAACAGGAGTCAAATACCAGCGCCCGGGCAGTGGGAGGGTTTAGGAAGAGACCCTCTTCTCAGATACTCGATGCCCAACACCTACTGGCTCAGTGAAGGGTCAACACACGGACGGGGGCCCTTCTGAAATGGTCTCCCCGTGTGAACAGGCCTGAAGCTTGCCGGGGAGAAGAACACCGGTCATCAGCCAGTCCTTCCTCTGGCTTACAGCCCCCTACTGACTGTCCGGGGCCCATCAGAAAAATGTCTCCCACCACATATGCATGCACACACCCTGACAATGGCTTGCTCCAAAGTTTTCTAAACCTTATCTTTAAAATCAAAAGGAAAGGGGCACCTGGGTGGCTCAGTGGGTTAAGTGACTCAGGTCAGGATCTCACCGTTGGTAAGTTCAAGCCCCACTTCGGGCTCTGTGCTGACAGCTCAGAGCCTGGAGCAGCCTTCCGATTCTGTGTGTCTCTCTCTTTCTCTGCCCCTACCCCACTCACACTCTGCCTTTCTCTCAAAAATAAATAAGCATTAAAAAAATTTTTTAGGGGCGCCTGGGTGGCTTAGTCAGGTTAAGCGTCCGACTTTCGCTCAGGTCATGATCTCGCGGTTCGTGGGTTCGAGCCCCGCGTGGGGCTCTGTGCTGACTGCCAGCTCAGAGCCTGGAGCCTGTTTCAGTCTGTGACTCCCTCTCTGACCCTCCCCTGCTCACGCTGTCTCTCTCTCTCCTAGAAATAAATAAAACATTAAAAAAAATTAAAAAAAAATTTTTTTTAATAAAATTGAAAGGAAAGCGAATGGACCTGGAAAATGAATGGAAACACTAAGGGAAGAAAATCCCTGGAGGAGGGAGGAAAGCCTCTAGATAACAAGGGGGAAGTGTCCTCACCGCATGCAGAGGAGGGCATCCAGTCAGGGGCCGCTAGGGGACCCTTTCAGTCTCTGCACTTGGTCCAGGAAGAATGTGAATTACTTCTAGGTCTCGAGTTAAAAAATAAACCACGAGGAAGTTCTGAAGTCCTCGGGCCTGGCAAAGGTAAGGGCCTGCCTGTCCAGCTCGTGGACAGTGAGAACAAAGGGTACAGCCCCGAGGAGATTTACAGGAAAAGAAGAGAAAATTCAAGGACTTGGGGCAAATTAACAAAGGAATTCACCCCAAGAGCCTAACAGGAAGGAAATTTTAAACATAAGGGCAGAATCAAGGATAGATCCATGTCAGTTTATATGCTTATGTGCTTTTATGCTTATATGTTTTATACATTCATATGTAAATTTGAATATCGATTAAAGGGATGATAGAAAAAAGACCCGAATCATAAGAAACACAAATAATACAAGAAGAAATTTGAAATGTATAGACCCGTCATCTTTACATAAATTATGCGTTGGCCAACCTCCTCTCCGGGGATTGTGTTCCCCGTGACGAATACGCAACTCTAGACCATAGTGCTAATTTCTTCTTGTCCTCCCTCTGCTCTGCTCAAAATAAGCAGTTTGTCTGCAAAAGTTTTCAGTCAATATGCACACGTTGATGTCCAAGGATGTAGTGACTCAAGGACATTTATCCTGTGTCACTTCCATCCATGGCTCTGTCTCTTTCTCCTTGAGATGAAGCAAAAATAGTTCACCTCTTTCTGATCCTCTCCGTCACATGGTTAAGTGGATAAGTATATAAGAATTGAAATAAAAAATATGAATGGTTTTTATTTAGGGTTTTTCTTTTTTCTTATGTTTATTTATTTATTTTGAAAGAGAGAGAGAGAAGTAGGCAGAGAGAGAGGAAGAGAGCACCCCAAGCAGGTTCCAAACCATGAGTGCTCACAGCCCGATGTGGAACTCAAACTCACGAACCTGCGAAATCATGACCTGAGACAAAAGGAAGAGTCAGATGCCTAACCAACTGAGCCACTCAGGTGCCCCTAGGGTTTTTCTAAAGAAAACTATAGCAGGACTAACTTTTTCACCTCTTTTCCTGAACATTTCTAAGACCCTTTATATGTTTTTTATGGGAAAATGCGCTCACCTAGAACCTATGATGTCGTGTAAGAAGAAGAAAGCATAACCAGTGGGACAGAGAATAATCTCTACCTTTCCTAGGAGGGAACTGGTTATCCATCTGCACAGAGGGGTTCCAGTTTTTTCTCTTCTTGCTGAAGGGTTTGGTCTGCAGTACAAGGGCAAAACATTTGGTGTCAGCATAACCCAGGGAAGAACCCACCAGAACCACCCACTACTCCCTTCTGACTTAAAACATGCATCAAAGGGAAGCTTGTTCCATACACCAGAACCCACTTAACATAATCATGTGTTTCCTTTGACATTGCACTTTTACGCCTTCCTGGTTGATTAAAAATCTATAACCCCCTGGAAGTTATTTTTAAAAAGAAGAAAAACCCTGCTAACCCATAATTCTATGTCCAGTGAAAATACCCCTCAAAAGTGAATCAAACAAGCAAAAACCAAGAGAATAAACTGACCTGGCCTACAAGGGTGTTAAAAGATGTCTTATGACTGCATTTTTACAGCAAGAAAATAAAGATTTTTTTAGGCAGGAAGAGATTGCTGAAGGTCAGAAATGGGAATGTACAAAAAACATCGGGAAAGGAACACGTAAAGGTAAAATAAATTATTTTTTCATATATCCTGACAGCTGAAAAAGAACTCTCTGCTTCTTAGTCTTGCCTTCCCACAGAGAAGCGGGTCGTTCTGCCCACAGTGCCTCCACCACTGCTCGGTCCGCACTTACCGCCCGAGGACACTGGTCCAGTGCCCGTCTATGATTTGAGATGTGGCCACATCACCTTAGATGACCGGATGCTTGAAAAACAAGTCCCTAAGGTTGGATATGCAAACTGGTTTTGAATGAACGGTTGGTCAACCACCATTATCATCTGCTGAAATATCTCCTTGGCTGCTGTTTACTTCAAAATATACACATGCACAAACATGCCCACATACCACACTCATGCTACACAAACACCCATGGGCTCTGCACCCACACACAACCACACATACGAACACATCCCACCACAACACACACACACACCAGCTCCGCACAGCACACACGTCACAAACGCACTCACGCATACGTTCCACCATACACACCACCAACACCCCGCACCACTCACAGATATGCAAGCAGCACGCAACACACAGCATATGCTTCTCTTTCCTTGTCTGTCCGCACAACTGCTCACCTCACATTAATCCCTAGAAATAGGCTCTTTTTACTCTCCCTTGGGAAAAATCTGTGGAAATAGATTTTCCCCCCAGATTTCCCCAGCCGACTAAACACCTTTGATAGGATCTTTAAGAGAGAAGCCTCCCCCCCACCCCCCCGCCCCCCGTCGTTCTGAGGAACTGTTAATTTCATTTAATGAGTAGCAACTTAAGAGTAAGACTGACCTGATTCAGGACAGAAAAGCAATTCCTTCTTCCCTTTGAAGACCTTGAACTTTCAAAAGTACTGAATTTCTGGATTTACCAATTTTAGTCCCATTAATCCTTCACCAAATCCTTGTTATGACCTCACCATGTCAAAGTTAAACCCTTAATTTTTAACTTTACTTTCACCTTTCCTTGCGTCTTCAGGGGAGGAGTAGGAGTGTTACAATCTTCCAGTGGACTAGAAACCTCCTGGAAATCTGCCATCAAATTCATGACCATAGTAGACAACGCTGCTAGTCTCCTCCTGCCGGGAAGGAGATGACCAGCTTGCTGGGAAGTGCTCCCAGGATGGATGATTTCTACTGAGGATGGCTCTGGGTACACAGTACGATTCCGACAGGAATGCGATGGCTTTTTATGTGCCCCGTAAATGCCCAATTAGCTTTTTGCCTTCCTGCCTTCTTTTTCCCCTTCCTTTTCCTTCTCTCTGTCCAACTTCCCTTCCCTTCCCTCTCCTCTCTTTTGCAAAGACCACATCTGTCTGACATTCAAGCTACTCAGAGAGAGATGCATTTTATTAAAGCACGTCCTCCAAAGGAAGGGACTTCACCATGGCTTCTGCAATGGCTGAATTCTCCTGGTTCCACCACCTCTCTGTAGATATATCCAAGAGTGCTTTTACCTTGGAATTTTGTGATCTATTGATCAGATAGGAATATCTAAGCCTTTGAGTCAGGGATTCTGCACGAAAGCTTCTTACATACATAACATTATTGTTTAAAAGATGTGTGAGTATGCTTATCAAGTGCCTAATACATGCTTGGCACATAACAGATACTCTACAAATTGAAACAGTTACTATCTCTCTAAAGAAATGTTGAAAATTCTTTTATGATTATTTATATTTGCGAGAGAGAGAGCATGAGCAGAGAAGAGACAGAGAGAGAGACAGAATCTGAAGCAGGCTCCAGGCTCCGGCTGTCAGCACAGAGCTTGATGCGGGGCATAAACCATGAGCCATGAAATCAGGACTTGGGCGCTTAACCAGCAGAGCCACCCAAGTACCCCAGAAAGTGATGAAAACTTGAACTTGCTTACCCAGGAGACTTTGATGTCTTATATATTCAGCGGGAATTTTTTCCTTGTCAGAATTCCAGATTCGGGCTATTCCCGCGTGTTTGTACAGTCTGAGGCCAAGGCTGGCCGTTTCTGGCATTTTCTGGCCACTTAGTGGTTGAAAGCCCCAGATCACCAGGTGTTCAATGTCCACATTTTAAATAAACAGCGTGCCCATCTGCTGTCAACGTCTCCCGTAGCGGTTACTGATTACCCGGAGGGAACGGTCCTTCTGTGTGCTGGGTCCAAAGCTTTCTGTTGCACTCTGACATCCTTTGAAATCACTTCTGGGTCTACAGTTCCATTCTGTGCTTTTCTTATTAAGTTTTTAAATTTAGCTTGATATTGGAATTTTCAAACACGTGAGAAAAGTGAACAGTCTAATATAACCGTGGACCCATTAACTAGCTTCAATAATTATCAATGTTTGGCCATTGGAGACATATATAGATACATTTCCAGTGGTTATTTTCTGTACTATTTTAAAGTAAATCTCAGGTATTATGTTATTTCTCCCATAAAAAGTACAGCATGGATATATTGCTCATTAGTGCTTTAAAAAAAAAAAAGACATAACTAGCACTCCATCAGTACTTCTAATAAACAATAGTCCCTTAATATCATTGCATAGCCAGTCATTATGAAAATGTTTCCGATCCCTGCAGAGTCGTCCTTTTATACTTGATTTATTTAAATGAGGATCCAAACAAGATGCACATGTGGCACTTGAGTGTTAGGACTCTCGCCTCTTTCATTTTGTGACCATTCCTTCATTCACTTCATATTTGCTGTTACCTAAAAACAACAACAGCAATCATAACAAAACAAGGCCATTTGCAGAGTGGCTTTCATATCCAATTTGGCTAATTACTTCCTTTTTGTGTCATTTGATAAATTTCTTTATCCCTTATGTCCTGAAAACTGCCCGTGTATGGAGAGGCTGGCTTAGATCCAGGACAAGAATAATTCGTGGGGTGCGGAGACTTGCACGGTGGCAGCGTGTCTCACTTTGAGTGAGATAAGATTGCTCAGTGGGCTCAGATAGTCTCAGCTTGATTTGTCCACTAATGAAGTTCTCAACCTGTATGGCCTTTGGTGGTTGTCGGTAAATGCTGCATTGCCAAACAATCCATTATTTTATTGCTAGTTGCAAAACAGTGATTTTGTAATTCCAACATGCCTTCTTCAGGTAGGAGCTGAATCAGGAGCGAATCGGGAAATTTGCCTAATCTGATATTTGGCTACCCTGAAATGCAAATTTCGTAGGAAAGCCAGGATGCTTTATTAAGTTGGAGAATAATAATCAAGTGCCTTAGCCAAGATGATCAAGGAAAATTATGACTTCATGAGTTTTACTGGATGTGTTTCAATCTGTCAAGTCCCTATTTTTTGATGCTTAAATTGTCCCTTCTTTGGCCAGTAGGAAGCTATTCAAGCCACTAGTGTCCTTAAGACCTGAGCTAGTTGTGTGAGATAGTGTCCTTGTTTTCTAACACACAGACAACAAGAGCATGAGTGCACACACACACAAGCACACACACACACACAAAACCATGAGCTCATGACCTGAGCCAAAATCAGTAGTCGGGCACTCAACCAACTGAGCCACCTGGGTTCCCCAGAATCCATCCTGTTTCTTGTATCCATGCTTTGTATGAGTTGGGCTCCAATGTGGGAAATCTTACCATAAAACTCTCTATTTAGCTACGGAATAGCTTCTGCTCCTTGCAGAAGGAGATCTTCCCTCCTCCCCCACCATGCTCTTGCACATGGGATCGTAACCACTTGTGAGGTCTCCCCCTCACAGATGGGACAGTTCCCTGCTGTGGTGCCTAAAACAATGTGCTGGCAGCCATTATGTCTGTCCTCCACACTGGACTGGAGAATAGTGCTCTTACATCCCAAGGGCCTAGATTCGAGACTAAAGCAAGATCTCAGTAACTGTTTTTGCCTTCTTGTCCTGTCTCTTCATTCAGAACTGTGCCCATCACATCACCTCTGTATGAAATGACTTGATGGCTATACTGTCTACACAGTAAAGATCACCACCAGAAGCCCTGGCCACTCTGCTCATGCTCTGACACACTGACCCCTATAAATTTCCATTTTACAAAAATATTGATCCATTTCATGTTGAGAACTTTATATATGGTGGAACCACTGAATTAGTCAGTTCCTAGGAGGAACATACATACGGCAGACGCACACTAGGTAATTTGAAGACAGTGTTAAAAGAGACAGTTTACACAGCATTGGAAATGTAGTGAAAGCCAAAAAAAGGCCTGGAGGCACAGGGGAAGAGAGAAGCAACCAGAACATGTGGAGGGCCTGGCAGCCAGGTGCTGTGAACAGTAGTGTAAGCATCAGCCACTGGCAGACCCCACAGGGAGGGACCATAGACACCTGTCCTCACTCTTGGGCCTCCATTGAAAACCCAGTAGAGGCCAGTGGACAAGGGAGTGTGGATACAAAACAGGTAGGTCAGCCTCCCGGAGCCTAAGCAGAATGAGGAGGGGAACACACAAGGGCAGGGTCATGTGGACAGTATCCAATCCAACAAATATAAATTGATACTCGGTGCTACGAATAGGAAAAATCATTGTCCTAATGAGGTTACCTCCCTGGGTTCAGAGCTTTGAACCATTGATTCCTGTTTTGAGATCCAGAAACTGTGAGCCTGGCCAGTTGTCAGTTGGCCAGTTCCTCTAAATCCATTGTGAACTCCACGAAGATGACAACTGTGTTCGTAGCTATCACTTTATTTAAATTTTCATTCATCGACTATGTTCCTCAGAAGGAAATCTTAGGGACATAAAGAACTGATCTCAGCAAACAAGATTCTTTCTGCTGCTATGCTCATCACCAAAGGCTTCTCTTTTGTGAAGTGAGGTGCCCAGTGACTTTCCATCACTACCGAGGTGGGATAACTAAGGAAGAAAAGTGACATCGAATTAAAATTTGAAATAGTGCCCCTCTGGCTAATTCCGTAGATGAAACTACTATCCTTTACTTTCATAAGCGAGTGAGCTTCCTCTCTTTAGCCCAGTCTTGGATGGAGGCATCTCCAAATACCAGGTAGAATATCAGTCCTGATAGGTTAATGGCAAACAGCAACAAGAAGACGTTTCTCCATCCAAATACAGGGTCCTGAGGACACAAAACCTCAAGTAAATATTACCCCTTTCATCCATTTTTTTCCTCTATGAAACCATATTCATAGCTTAGAGGACCCTATTTGCTAGCAGGTCTCCATGTAGCTGCAAGTTGGCATGTAGGCACGGAAGTGACATCTAATGACATCTGTGTGGCCATGTGGTTTCAGTTTCAAAGACTGAGTATCGCCCGAGGATCATCACCTCTTTGGCTTCAGAACGGGAGAGAGTGAGGTCATGAGAGGAATTGCTCGACATTTCTTTTTGCCAGGTTGATCCCATGACAAAGCTACCCACAACTTAGTTGTATTTTCTACAACATGAATAAGTTCTTTAGGGATGCTACTACCCTACGAATGGATGTGGCCGAGCATTTGAGAGTCCTTCAGAGGAAAACGCTACCTGGCTGAGGAGAAGCCCGCTGACGGTGGGTGCCGCGATGGCCGCTGCGCATCCTAATTCCCTTGAGACTCCCATGAGGAGACTGGAATGTCTGTGGATGACAAGAATGTTCCAGGCTAGATCCAGAGCTGCTTCACAGTATCCTTCAGCCTTGCTCATGTAATTATGTCAGAAAGGATTTGCACTGTGTATATTCAGTGAGAGGCACTGAGTCAAATCAGTAAAACCCCTCCCCTCACATACCTGAATAAATGGCCACAGGCTCATCTGTGGTCCTTGCCTGTGATTTATTATGTCCCAAAGTTTGGGGCTCCCAGAAAGCTTCGGGCCAAATCTTTTTCAGAATAGGTGAAATATGAGAGTGGAGGTTACCATCTTACCTTGGAGCAATATCTAAGGGGTTGACATAGATCCCTGACTGACTGATGGGGCTCAGCCCACACGTGATCATGAGGAGGGTCATCGTGGTGACGTAGCTGGGGGTGAGGTAAGGCAGAACCAGAAGGAGAGCTGAAGAGGGGAAATTTCCTGGGAACGAGGAACAAACAAATTAAACATTGCGATACATCTTTGGCTGTTGTATTTGCATGCTCTTGAAGCACCTGACCCCCAAGCCCTGTCCTTACCAAGAAATGTGGCAATTTTCCTCACGGTCACGAGCCGGAAATTCTTGGTCAGGAGGAAATCTGCCAGTTGGCCAGTGAGGATGCTAGTGACCCAGGCAATGATAAAAGGGAGGGCAGACAGGAACCCATTCTGAGGAGGGAAAAATCAAGTAAACCATCATAATAGGGGCAGTGAGCCCACACCTTTTATTGAGAAACCACTGATAATCACACAGACAACCCTTAAATCACACATTCTTTTTTTAAAAACTTTTTTAAATTTATTTTTTGAGAGAGTGAGCAGGGGAGGGGCGGAGAGAGAGATGGACAGAGGCTCTAAAGTGGGCTCTGTTCCATGCTGACAGGCCGACAGCAGACAGCTGGATCCAGGGCTGGAACTCACCAACTGTGAGAGCATGACCTGAGCTCAGCCCACTAAGCCACCCAGGCACTCCTGAGAACGTACTTTTTTTTTCTTTTTCTTTTTTAATGCTTATTTTATTTTTAAGAGAGAGAGACAGAGCGTGGCCAGGGGAGGGGCAGAGAGGGAGGGAGACACAAAGTCTGAAGCAGGCTCCAGGCTCCACGCCGTCAGCACAGAGCCCAGAGCCGGGCTTGAACCCACGAACTGCAAGATCATGACCTGAGCTGAAGTCCGATGCTCAACTGACTGAGCCACCCATGCGTCACTGAAATCATACTTTCTTAAGGAAGTCAGTAGCCTTTCTATTCATATCCTAAGGGAAACTACCAGTATGAGTGTTAAATACTGGGTTATTTCGGGGTGAGTAGTATAGGATACACTTTCCTGGATGGAACGATTTGGGAAGATGAAGTGATTGGTGGGTCGTGCGGGCTGGAGGAAGGCCCGGAAGGCTAGGCACTCACGTCTCTGATGTTAATGTTGAACACAGAGCTGATGTAAGTCGGCATGTACACAATCAGTATGGTGACTAGCCACTGATGGCTGAAATTGCACACACCGATGGACCATAGAGGCAGAGACCTGAGCATGGCCTTGATGGGAAGGGGCTGCTTCTGAGGGATGACCTGGAAACAAGCGTACTGATTAGGATGGTAAGCTCTGAGACGTGTGCATGCGTGCAGCTTAATCAGCCTGGAAACGCAGAGGCGGTTGTGAGCTCTCAGCAGGCTGTCAGAGCACTTCCTGTACCTGGTGAGCCAGGGAGGCTACGATATATTCTTTTTCTGTGACGTTTATCCACGGGTGAAAGATGGGGTTGTCATACACCAGAGCAAACCAGAGAAGGCAGTAGATGCAGCCAATGCCTCCTGTAAGCAGAGGATAACATTGGTAACCACGCCAGTTTCTGCTTTCTGTGGGAACTTCTTTTAGGTTGGCACAGTTTCGAGCACAAGTTCTGGAAAAAGCCCTTGCTCATAATATCCCCTTTCTGTTTCTCAAAAAAAAAAAAAAAAAAAATGCACATGAATATTGCAACTTTCTAGAACCTTCTTTTGTCTTTTTACGTCTCATGATTATTCGTATGTATGGAAATCACAGACCTTAGGAATGGCAGAAAACTTGGTATTTCAACTTTTTTAATATTATCAAAGGAAAGTTATCTCTTTCAATACTGTTGACAGCGAATGCGAAGGTTTATGACACTAAGCAACCCTCCGAGTCCTCTGTAGACACCAGCTTGGCTCAGTTTTGACACTAACTACTGGTAGTTGGCACAGACCCCACAGACTGAGGGCTCAGTCCCACAAGGCGGCCCCCACTTTGGATGCCAGTCCCAAGCAGTGGGTCCCCAGGTTATGCATGCATCTGACTCAACTGCAAAGTTGAGTTTTGATAATTCTCTCAGTTTTAATAATTTGCTAGAACAGCTCACAAAAGCTGTTTTGTGAGACATTTACTTACATTTACCAGTTTATTATAAAGGATATTATAGAGCATATAAATGAACAGCCAGACAAACAGATACACAGGGCAAGGTCTGGAAGGTTCTGAGCACAGGACCCCTGTGGAGCTGGGATCAGCCACCCTCCCAGCACACGGATATGTTCACCAGTCTGGAAGATCCCGTAGTTTCAGTATCTTTAGGGAGGTGACATCACATAGACATAATCGATTATTAACTCACTCTACAGCCTCCTTCCCTCCTGGAGGATGCAGGTAGGGCTGAAGGTTCCAAGTTCCTAATCGCGGTTTGTTCTCTCTGGGGCCTGTCCTTCATTGTGAAGCTATCTCGGGTCCCCCAAGAGCTGTCTCTTTAGGAGAGAAGATGCTCCTAATGCTCAGGAAATTACTCTGTGTCAGAAACTGGGGACAGAGATGGCATACACATTTCTTACTGCGTCACAATTAACCATTGTAACAGGCATACAGAGGTTTGCTCGTTCTTATTTGCATTTCCCTAGTGACTAAGGATGTTGAGCCCCTTACCATGTGTTTATTTTCTCTCCCTCTATTTTCTTCGGTGAAGTGTCTTTGCACACTGTTAAAGCATTTTTCGTTTTGCTTTCTTACTATTGATTGTTGAGAATTATTTACACATTCTGGATAAAAGTCCTTCTTAAATATGCGTTTTGCCCCACGAAAGAACAAGGGTTTTCTCATAGGCTTTCTTCTGGGAGGATAATAACTTCAGATTTTAAAATCAGGTCCAGGATTTATTTTGAGTTGGTTTTTCTGTAGGGTACAAGATAATGGACTAAAGTATCCAGTTTTGTTTTGTTTTTTTTTAAATATTTTTATTTATTTCTAGGAGAGAGAGAGAGACAGCGTGAGCAGGGGAGGGTCAGAGAGAGAGGGAGTCACAGACTGAAACAGGCTCCAGGCTCTGAGCTGGCAGTCAGCACAGAGCCCGACGCGGGGCTCGAACCCACGAACCGCGAGATCATGACCTAAGCGAAAGTCAGACGCTTAACCGACTAAGCCACCCAGGCGCCCCTGTTTTTGAGCACCAGCTATTAAAAAGTCTACTCCTTTCTCCATTGGGTTCTCATTGCTCTTTGTCGAAAATCAGTTTACCTTTTATGTGAGTCTGTTTAGGACTGTCGTCTGCTCCTTGATCTATTTTCCACGGATAGATATGCCAACACTGAAATGTCCTGATGGCATAATCTTCTGTGTCTTAACATCGGGCAGTGTGAGTCCTCCAACTTTGTAACTCATTTGCAAAACTATTTGGCTGTTCTAGAGTCCTTTTATTTTCATGAGAACAGTTTTCAGTGCATAGGTGTTTCCCATCTTTTGTCAGGTTTATTCTTACATTATATGTTTGTCCATGCTATTGAAAATGGTACTGCTATTTTTAACTTACGTTTCTTAGTCTCTCAACGTTGGTGTGTCTTAAAATGTCCTTATTTTGTCTCTGTTTTTGACATTTCCCCCCATTCTGGCTCCAGAGTTCTATGTTAGTTTTTTGTTCCTCACAGGACTTGAAAAGTGTTATTTCACTGCCTTCCTCCTTGCATTGCTTCCAACAGGAAAGCTACCCTCTTCGTTGTCTCCGTTGTTCTGTACATAATGTGTGTTTAGCTTTTACTGCTTTTAAAATTTTCATCTTTATCACTGGCTTTCAACCATCCAATTACCTATAACTTAGTGTCATATTCTTCATGTTTCCGGTCCTTGAGATCCATCGACCTTCTTGGGTCTGTGAGTGTGTAGTTCTCATTGACTTTGGCCACCCTTCACCCATTATTTCCTCAAAGACCTTGTCTCCCCCCCATACCACTCTTCTCTCAGTGTGCTGCCCTTGCTGGTGCTCTCATTCATTATTGTTGTTTTTCTCTACGTGGTCCATTCTGGATGATGAATACTGCTATTTTTTAGGTTCCTTAATCTTTTCTCCTGGTGCATCTAATCTGTCCTTAATTCCATGCATATATTATAATTTCCATCTCTCGAGGTTTGATTTGTGTCTTTTAAAAAAGGTTTTCCATGTCTCCACTTCTGGACAAATAGCCTTCTGTAATACCACAGTTATAATAGCTGCCTATTTTAATGCCCTTGTCTGTGAATTCTAACATGGTGTCCGTTCTGGGTTGGTTTTGATCAATCTTTGTATTCTTCTTCTTACAGGTTGTGTTTTCCTGCTTTTATTTTTCTGTGCCTGGTAATCTACAATGGGAACCAGACATTCGTGGATGATAGTTGGGTGCTGAATGTCTGTGTCTTCCTCTACAGATTTTTGAGCTTTTGTCTGCGGTACAGTTAAGTTACGTGGAAATAGTTTGATCCTTTTAGGTCTTGCGTCGTCATTTGTCACAAGGCCCCCCAGCGAGGCCTCCTCTGGGGACTACTGGAGAAAAAAGGTGGTGGGCATTCTGCCCAACTGCCTCTGAATTGTAAGTGTTTTCAGTCTGTCTTGTGGAAACGGGCACTGTCTCTGATTCTCTGTAAGTACACGATTCCGTTCTTTAATCTTTTCAGTGATTTTCCCCACCTCGGGCTCAGATGATGTGCTCACACGCATGTCCCACAAATAACCGGGTTTCTCCATGTGCAGTTGCCTTTACTGGGTGTTGTTTCCTGCCTCACAGTCTCTGGGCTTTTAAATTTGTCTCCTCAATTTTGTTTCTGCTCCTTTCCCTCTTCTTGTGCCCCGCCCTAGACCTCCCTCCTCACAGGTCCTTGTTCCTCATTGTCTTTACCCTTTTGGTGTTTAGCATTTTCTCTCCTTTCAGAAGCATGCATCTAACCCGGGACCCTGACCTGATGCACCTAATCAGAGACAAGGCCCACAGCGGTGGCTTGCTCTCTGCGCATCTTTCTTTCCTCTCTCTCAAACCACTGCTCTGCGAGCCTGTCACCTACAGCCTGGGGGGGGGTGGGGGGGGAAGGCCACACCCAACCACTTTGTGCTAATGATGTTTTATGGCAGACTGGTAGCATCATACTTGGAGATATGATACCTGGAGACTCACCCTGAATATGAAACCCTGGAACGGGGAGACAGGTGCTTACCAAAGACATAGAAGACAAAAGGCCACCCAAGGCTTTGGCTGATGATGCCACCCAGGAGGATGATGGCGAAGGCTCCCAACGGCATTCCTGCAGAGAGACAGAGTAAGCTGTGGGGCTCTGGACCGCCACTGGCTAGACACCAAATGAATGATGGATGGTACGTTAATGCAGTGTCACCCACCATAACCAGGCAAGCAGAGTAGAATACCTGAACTTGAGATCTATCACTTGTTCTCCTGAGGATCCATTTTTTCTGGCAGTTCCTTGATAACATTGGGGACAAAAGCCATGCTTCTTCTTCCTTCCATGTTATTTTAACTTTTAATTACACAAGTCATGCGACATATGCTTCTGGAAAAAGCACAGAGTCCTGCTACATGCCACCTCAATCCATTCCCACTCTTGTCTGCTGTTAACAATTACCTATTATGCAGTACATCGTTACATACCTTTCCTCTCTGCAAACATATACAATACATATCTACACAAACACTTACCTCCTCATAAAGGCATTTAAGCGACATACGACAGAAAGCTAGATTTGTCTGTTCATGTGCTAATAACACTGTTTTAATTTCCCTACTTCACAGAGTATTTTCATCCACAGCAGGCCACACTTCCTTCTCACAACTTTTTCAAAACTAGGCTATTGAATTTTTTTATTTTCCAGATGAACATTAACATCAACTTGTCAAATTATATACGTGTGAGTTTTTATTTATTTATTTATTATCTATTTAGTTTTTAATTTAATTTAATTTTTTACTTTTTAAGGTTTATTTATTTTCGAGAGAGAGACAGGATTCATGAGCCGTGTTAGTTAAAGAAAAGTAATTCACTAAGAATAACATGTTTGTCTTGGAATATGGATAGAAAACGATGAAAAGACCAGCAGACGCATAACACTGGGTAGGCAATCATTACCAACACAAGACTCCAGCTACTCATGGGCACACGAGGCATTCAGTTGGTGGTGTGCAGGAGCCAGAGAAATGTGTGCACATCTCTTCCTAACTGGGCATTCAGTGACTTGAAGTTGCTGTCTTTAAATCAGCCGCGGTGGTGGTAGTTAGAGCCCAGAGATTGATAAATATTTTGAATTAGTTTTTTTTCTTCCTAAAAAAAAGCCCATTTACCAGCAGAATGATGGTGACTTGTGACAGTGTGGCCCAATTCAGCCATCTGCTGGGAATCCCGGTTCTGGCCCCAAGGGCACTCTGCTTGGAAACGGAAATAACAACCATGGCAGTAATAGGTTCTTTAGCAAACTGAGTTGTGGCCCCAACCCTGTGTCTCTCCATAGGGCAAGTTTGTGTCACTGGCCAAGGATGCCTCCCCTATGTGGGCTCCCTTGCTTGAAGCTCAGCCCTTGTTCTCATATCCACACCATCAGTGGGCAGAGTAATGCAGCAAAGAGAGAGAGAAAAAGAGTTCTAACACTTGGCACACTTGAGTCACGTAGGGTGACCCTTCCACCTGCTTTATCTTAAACATGTTAATTTGCCCGGTTTTCCATCTCACTTCTCGCTCTGTGCTTTAACGTTGTTTAACTGTACAGTTACAGCACCTCATTTGGCCCAGAAACCTGTCTGTTCATGGCCTCTGGGATGGGTGCCAGGTGGTGTCCTCGGGGCTGACATGGCATCTTGGCAAGGTCCCCTGTAACAGACATGCTTTATTCAGTCAACATTTGTGTTTCTACCACCACACATGTGGCTGTATGAATATTGCAGGATTTTTTAGAAATTTTCCCTGCTGTATGATAGTGCATCATTTCAGATTAAGTGTGTGTGTGTATTTCTATCACCTATGAGACCTGCCTCAAATATGAGATACCAGTTCTATTTTGTCTGCTTAGTCTTCCTCCCTTAAGTGGCTACAAAGTTTCCTGCCTCTACATGTGCCTCTGTGGTTCCTTGGAGAGAAAGACATAGAATGTTGTGTCCCAGAGGCTGGCAGTACGTGGCCCTTCCACAGTTAGTGTCCTTGTGGGAAGTCTTCCTTCAACCTCATGGGATGAGTCATTCTGTTCACCAGTGCAGCCTGTTGAGAAGCCCTAGAATCACCAGAAATGGCTGTTTCTTTAAGAACTACTGAGGCAGAAGGGTAGGCTTAGCCCACCTCACCTGCCGACGGGTCCCTCCAATGGCTTTCTGTTGCCCCCTCAGATAGCCATTGGCTCTGTGTTCTCTGAAGCAGGGAAGGTTTCTAGAGGCTAGTGAAGACCACCTTCTTGGGGCCACTAAGATGGTCCCTTAACTCTCAAAACAAGGAAGCCTCTGGAACTTGCAGTCTTACAGATTCCCAAGATTGTTCTAGTCAGTTAACCTACTCCAGTAGCTCTATGCCTATAGAGCAGGAAATGAGAGAGAGAAGGGAGCTGCTACTTCTGTAAGGTCACTGCCTTCCTTCCAGAATTTTAAACTTGTATTCCATGCTTTCCATCTCCTGATTCTTCTGTTGTATTCTGGGGTAATCCTTCAATTGTCCAACTTGCTCATTTGATGGTCATCTCCCTTCATTTAAGTACCCGGACCACTCATTGCAGTTAAAAATATTAGCAATTATATTTTTAATTACCAACAACCATGTTTATAGCAGTCTATTTTCTAAATTATTTTTTTAAATTCTTAATTGAAGCATATATTATTTGGTTCAGGTATACAGCCTAATGATTTGACAATTATACACATTACAAAATACCACAGTAAGCATAGTTACCATCTATCACCATACTAAATTATGACATTATTGAATATATTCTCTATGCCATACTTTTTATTCCCATGACTTATTTATTGTATAACTGGAAGTTTGTATCTCTTCATCTCCCTCCCTCCCCATACCACGTCTGGAAACCACTAATTTGTTCTCTATATTTTTGAGCCTGTTTCTCTTTCCTGTTGTTAACTGTTATTTGGTGTGTTTTTTTTGGGGGGGGGGGCTGGTTTTTTTTTTTTTAGATTCCACATACAAGTGAAATCGTATGGTAATTGTCTTTCTCTGTCTGGCTTACATGACTTAGCAAAATAGCCTTTAGGTTCATTCATGTTGTTGCAAATGGCAAGATTTCATTAGTTTTTATGACCAAATACTATTCCATTATGTATCTACACCACATCGTTTTCATCCATCCATCTATTGATGGTCACCTGGGCTATTTTCATATCTTGGCTATTGTAAGTAATGCTGCAGTAAACACAGAGGTCCAGATGTCTTTTGCATTAGTGTTTTCATTTCTCTTGAGTAAATACTCAAATATGGAATTATTAGATTATGTGGCACTTTTATTTTTAGTTTTTTGAGGAGCCTCCGTACTGTTTTCCAAAGTTGCTGCACCAATTTACATTCCCACAAATAGGACACAGGGATTCTCTTTTCTCCACATCCTCACCAACACTTATTATTTCTTGTCCTTTTGATACTAGCCATTCTGACAGCTTTTTCTTTTTAAATAAATGTTATGACACATATTCCCTTAGCTCTCTTCCATGTTAGTTGTTAATCACATAAAAGTTTCTTTTAATTTCTTTTTCATTTGAGTTTGTTCTTACAGATTTTGAGTTGAGTCTCTCTCTTTGTCCTCTCATTTTCTTTAAAACGTTTTTGAGGATTTGTGTGGGGTGGGGGTCAATCTTGATTTATGCTTGGCAAGTCCCATTAGTCAGCTGTGATAATGGATGTGAATTTCCTTATAGTCCAAATCTGTGGACTACTCCCCTATCGGTGAATATGAGCTCTGGTGACAGAAAATAATCCTCCACGATTGTTAAAGGCTCTAGAGGATCTAGAGGGGTGTGAAATCAGTCAGTGTGTGTGTGTGTGTGTGTGTGTGTGTGTGTGTGTGTGTGTCTTGTTTTCTGGGCTTGAAGAGTCCCTGACTCTCTTGATATCCATAAGTTAGCTGGGGAGTTACCCCTGTTTCCTTATCCAGAAACTGCTTCATCAGTCTCCTGTTTGTTAGCTCTATTCTTTCTGTTTTTCATTTTTGCCCAATATTATATACACTTCTTTCTTCAGTATATTCCTTCCAGATACACTGACCAGGCAAATCATAATCAGAAAACAGTTCTCAGAACAACTGAAAACTCTTCCAAAGAAGATTAAATTGGATCCATACCTTATACATAGAATACTAATATAGATTCCAATATATTAGACACTTAGGTATAAAAATGAAATCACACAAGTTCAAGGAAAAACATGGGCGGATGCTTTTATAACTTTTCTATCTATGACTCAAAGCCCAGAAGCCATAAAAGAATGATCAATTCAAATATGCAAGAATATGTATTTTTAAGAATAGGAAAAATCATTATAAGCAAAGTCATGTTACAAATATCAACTTGGGGGAAAATAACTGAAAATGGGGCACCTAAATGGCTCAGTCCATTGAGCATCTATCTGATTTTGGCTCAGGTCATAATCTCATGGTTCATGAATTCGAGCCCCGTGTAGGGCTCTGTGCTGACAGCTCAGACCCTGGAGCTTGCTTCGGATTCTATGTTTCCCTCTCTCTCTGCCCCTCCCCTGCTCATGCTCTGTCTCTCTCTCTCTCATAAAAGTAAATAAGCATTAAAAATTTTGTTTTTAAATAACTGAAAGTCATGGCACAAAGGATCCATTTCCTTAATTTATAAATATTTGGTCAACATTGAGGAGAAAACAAAAACACATTCAACAGAGAAATTATCAAATACCCCAGTGTGAGAATGTTGGATTCAGTGGACTCTTTTCAGTTCTGTGTTTCTACCTGCTATAGTGATGGTGCAGAGTCGGCTTCGTTCATGTGGAGGACCCCATTTCTCCCAAAGCGCAAACTGGCCCCCAAATATCGATCCCTGAAATCAAAATAGTTAGAGCTCTTGGTATGTGATGCCATGTAGAAATTCATATCCGTCTCATATTTATAAACTGCCAGGATACCTGCATTAGGCCCTGGACTATTCGAGTTGCAATGAAGAAGGCTAGTCCAAGGTCAGCTGCCAGAGGGGTGAAGATAGTGAGAAGGGAGGATCCAACCAAAGAAACACCAACCACTCGCTTTGTTCCTATTCTTCCAGCCAGGTACCCACTAGGAGCCACCGTCAGCATCATGCCATAGTTGACAGAACCAAAAAGGATGCCCTGGATTTGAGGACTCCAGTCATACACAGGAGCCTTAAAGAAACAGAGAATGCGATAGTAAGCCATGTACAAGAAGGTTCTTACATAACTGAACACATCTTTAAGTGTTATTTGTTTATTTTGATACAGAGAAAGAGCATGAGCAGGGGTGGGGCCAAGAGAGGGAGGGAGGGAAGGAGGGAGGAGGGAGGGAGAGAGAGAGAGAAAGAGAGAGAGAGAGAGAGAGAGAGAGAGAGAGAGAGAATCCCAAACAGGCTTCATGCTGTCAGTATGGGACCCAATACAGGGCTTGAACTCACAAACTGTGAGATCATGACCTGAGCCAAAATCAGGAATCAGACGCTTAACTGACTGAGCCCCCCAGGAACCCCCCAAATAAAACATTTTAACATATAAGCTCTAAACAAATGAACAAACAGCAAAAGCAAGAGCACAGCTTAAATCTCGTATTACTTACCTCTGCTGAGAGACTCTTGGGCACATCATTTGAGCCACTAAATGAGTCAATGGGAAGCATCTCGGTGGAGCCATTGAACCGGGACTGATGGTTTGTGCCATTGACCATGGCTACCATGGTGATGTTAATGGCAACATACTGGGTCATCACCATAAAGTTGCAGAGATGTGTGATGAGGGCTAGACCATAGCGGGTGGAGCAGAAGCTTGGAACTGGAAATATTACGACATTAGTGCTTTCCTTATCAAGCCATCATTTGCTTCTCACAAGTTCTACTATAAGAAGGTACCGCAGACCATCACCTAATGAGTTAAATAGCTTTGCTACTGGTTTCAGGAAAGATGCAAAAGAAGGAAATCACAGAGTTGAACGAAAGGTTGTTTTCATACCACAGTGGTATAGAGACTGACTTGCTCTGAGGCATCTGTCCACCTGATGATTTTGTCTCTCCCCTTCTTGGGTTATTGTAGTCTATAGTCGATGAAATTACTCAGAAATAAACACATATATGGATGCAATACATACATGGTAAAATATGCATTTTATATACATGTAAAGAAAAATATGTATATGTACCTATTTAAGTTACATAATTTAAATAACTAACTTTAATTCATTAAATCATATAATTTACATCATATGTCCTATATAAATAATGTAATTTTTTTAACTCTAAAGGAATTGTTCACTGAGGTAGATGATTGTCCTCCTCATATATCTGGTCATTGAGGACAAGCTTTCATTTAAAGTTTGGAATCAAACTCTTAGAAAGATTTTCTCATTAGAGAAATTGACAACCTATGAAAAAATTTGCAAACTATGAAAAAATATATTGAAAAAATAGTGGAAAGAGAAGTGAGCATGGCATCCAAAGCTGTTTTTATATTTCTGGGAAAGATGGCTATTCCCAGGAAGAAACAATTGCAACAATGCAGAAGAGAAGAGAGGAGGGTTGGGTTGCAGTGGGAGCAGCAGAAGAGGGGAAATGTAATCAGATCCCAGATGGACCCCTGGGGTGTGAGGAAGCCACACAAAATCAAGCTTTAGGTTTTACAGACCAGCGGTGGGGGGAGCATCAGAGAGGTTCTTGTCTAAGAACTAGAAGAGTAGAGTTGAGGTTCACTGAGGAAGGGAGTCTTGTGGCCAGAGCAGGGGCTTGGGGAGTGGGGGAGTCAAGAGCTAGTGGACCAACAGAACTCCCTTTTAGGGCCTCCGAGTGTTGAGAATGTTGTTGGATACACAACTCCAGAGTTTAAAAAGAGGTAGGGGTTGAGGTGCAGGACTGGGAGTTAGTACTCTGCACGTGATACCCAAAGCCATGATATTTGAGAAATGAGAACACAGAAAGAAGAGAACCAAGGACTGACTCTGGAGATTTCCAGTGTTTAGGAAGACAACTAAGTGGGGAGAAACCAACAAAAGAAACTGAAAAGGAATGGCCAGTGGGTTTGGAGGAAAACTAGGAGAGTGTGGTGTCCTGGAAGCCAAGGGGAAAAGGGCTTCAGGGAGGAGGGAGTCAGCAGGTGGGTCAGATGGCTCTGATAGGTCATGGAACATAATGACTGAGAATTGATTCACTAAATCCTCTGAGGCAGCTACCACTACTGTCCCCATTTGATGGCTGAGAAGGACATAGATACACAGAGACCCGCTGTGTCAGGTGTCTATGCTCATAACCATTGTATAGCAAGGATGTGATGGCCTTTATTTTGTCCTGGATGACCCCATGAGAATACGTTTGTGGTAAGCCAAGTGCACTCAGCTGTGGGGTTTATATGGTGTGGGATAGGAGGTCAGCACCCTGTGTGTCTTCAAGATGTCCTCAAAACTTCAAGGAAGGAGGTGCCTTGAGATAACAAGAGTCTTTCCCCACAAGGACATATTGTTTTTTCTTTTAGTGAATGGGGCTGGGGACAGAATTTGGAGGGGAAAAAACCTGTAAAATATACTGAAATTAAAGCAGAAGTTCAAATACAATATTTTTGTAAAGGTTTTCCTGCCTGATTCAAGGCTCAGTGATGACTTCTTATGTCAACCACGTCAACTAATAATTTGTGAGTTCTTGTGTTCTCTGATTTCTCCAAGTTGCCTTGGGGTCTAAGAGACCAAAGGCTACTGAAAAGTAGCATCAGCAAGCCAAGGGAGTAATGGCTCACAAATGAGTGGGTTGAACATCTGCCTTCTCAGTTTGCTGAAAGATTAACTAGAGGATGTTAAAAGGCTTAGCCTGGTGCTTGCTTGATAATAAGTGTTTCTGTCCTGTGTCCATTATGAATGAGTTGTTCCAGCCATGTCCACTCTTATAGGTTGGTGCCAGTGTCATGCTGGCTGAAAAATTCTCAAGGATTACCCTTAGCTACATGAAAGTGTGTGAGTTTGTATGTAAATGTGAGAGTGTACAAATTAATAAATATCTTTTAGGCCTAGTATTTAAGCACTGGAAGAGAGTACTGACACAATGAAATCATAGACTTTTGAAACTTGAAGGTTATCTATGGAAGAATTCGATACTACTCTAGTTAGAGTCCAGGAGACTAGTTTTTTAACTTGATGTGACAAACAGATCCTAGGGTGACTCCAGGGGTTCCCACCTCATGACGTTCACAAATGTGTATAATCCTCTCCGCTTGAATAGGGGCAAGACCTATGAGCTGCTTCTGGCCAGCAAGTGATGGGATGCACTCTCATGATTTCTATCATAAGACTCCAACCTGAAGCTGGATACTTTACTCATGGGCTTGAGAAAGGAAGCAGAAAGTTGGAGAAGTCCACACAGTAAGGAACTATAGGCTGCCTCAAGGACAAGAGAGTGGTCTCCAGCCAAAATCTTGCCAAAACCCGGACCATCAGCTGCACAATTGTAAAGAGATGAATTCCCTGACAACCTGAATGATCTTGGAAGTGGGATCCTCCCTAGTCTAGCCTCCAGATGAGAACACAACCTGGACAACTGCTCGAATGCAGCCTTGTGAGATGCAGAGAACAACCAAGGAAACCAAGGCATGTCTTAACCTCTGACCCACAGAAATTGTGACATCATAAACGTGAGTCACTTTAGGCCATTAAGATTGTGGTAGTATGTTTGCAGGGATAGAAAATGAATATGGTTGGAAACAAATAATAAAGAAGAGGTATGTATATTAACAGACCACCCAAGAGGCTTTTTTTGGAGGGGAGGGCACACACTGAAAGATATTTGCATTATATAACATTGATATTTGTTACGAAGGTAAAATAAGACCTCAGTAAGTGGAAAGAAACTCTAAGGAACAACAGAAAAACATCCCCCAAAAGTCATACAGTGAGTAAAGGACTTACGGTAATTCATGGATAAAAGCTAAATTACACATGTGATTCTGAGCTAGCTGGTTAAATATATGGAAAAATAAAGTTGGAACAATATCTTATATTTTAAATAAAAATAAAGTTAACATACAATACTGTAGCAGTGCATTTTGTCAAATGAAAGCTGCCATTGATTTTAAGATGTGTCATTTTTTGTTCCACTAAAAATCAGTTGATAAGCTAATAAAAATATCAAACTTAATAGATTCTGAACATCAAACTGAATGCCTGAACTCCCCTCCCAAGCTTGCTCCATATAGATTCTTTCCCAACTCAGATGATGGACAATCTATCCTTCCAGATACTTGATTTCTTTCTTTCACACCTTAGATCCAATCTGTCTGGAACATACTCTTGTCTTTACATTGAAAATGTGTACAGAATCCGACCACTTCTCACCAGGGCCATTGCTACCACTTGGTTTAGAGCTACTTCCAGTGGATTCAGGCTACCAACACCTCTTGCTTGGATTTTTGCATTAGACTTTAACTTGAATTCCTGCTTCCAATTTCCTTCCTTCTTTCTCTCTTTCTTTCTTTCTTTCTTTCTTTCTTTCTTTCTTTCTTTCTTTCTTTCTTTCTTTTTTAGTTTTTTAAAATGTTTATTTATTTTCAAGAGAGAGAGAAAGAGACAGAGTGCAAGTGGGGGAGGGGCAGAGAGAGAGGGAGACACAGAATCCAAAGCAGGCTCTAGACTCCAAGCTGTCAGCACAGAGCCCGACACAGGGCTCGAACTCATAAACTGCGAGATCATGACCCGAGTAGAAGTCAGACACTCAACCGACTGAGCCACCCAGGCTCCCCTCCAATCTATTCTCAATAGAACAGTTGAACTGCTCTAGTCATGCCATATGTTAGATCACCCCTTCTTCCACTTAAAATCTTCTGTATGTCTTCACTTTTGTTCAGATTAAGTACTAAGCTCTCTATGGTGGCCAATGCAAAGGGAATATTTGTAACTTTTGTATCAAAATTTTAATTTCTTAGGAATAAACACTGAAGAAATAATAATTGAAAATGAGACAAGTGCTATGTTAAAGAATGTTTGCATATGTATAATGTATATAAAAATAGCTTAGTAGCAAAGCAAAACTTTGTAACTTAAATATCCAACCACATGAGGATTTTCCGGATAAATAATGCTTTATCTGTTGGACATATTAAAACAATAATATGCATCCTTTAAGAAGAACATTTGTGAGTATTATAAAGGAGTATGGAAAAGTATGTGTGGTCAAATTAAACTTTTCTTACTTTACCTAATTAAGCAATACAATTATATTTACAATATTACATGCAGTGGCAATCAGAATATACAATACTAGGTGTATACAAATTTGCCTGCAATTGTCAAAAATGTAAATGCACATGGACAAAGATTAGAAGATAATCATCAAAAATAAAAGACTTTTTTTAAGAATAGCGATATTTATTTCCTTCATATATTTGAAAAGCACATATTAATATTACCTGATTGTTAAACAGAATTCAACAACTTATAAGACATAAATTCATTTGTTTGTATTATGACATTGCACATAAAGAATCCACCATAAAATCCTAAACCCAAGCCATCAAGGTTGAGTTTACCTTTCTTGGGAACGAGATTCTCATCCACTTGTGTGTTTTGGGAGAATTTACTCTTCTCCACCGTGGGACTCAGCTCTGTCATGGTGGCCATTGTGTTCTTTCCCCTGATGTTTCTCACCTACTGGGGCAAAATACACAGGTGTCAGCCAAGAGAAGGAGACACCTCTGATATGCATACACAGCGGTCAACGAGCAACCTGAAGCTAGGCCGTTCCATCTCGGTGGGGGCCGAGGAGGACCGTTATCCCCTCTTGGCCTAATACAACAGGTGCGCCAAGCCTCAGGTGTGGAACTGTTTATTATTAGGGTCTAGCGTGCTCACTGTGTACCAGGGTAAGAGTGCTGGCTTTGCAGCTGGGCATTTCCAAGTTCAAATGCAGACTCATGAGTTACCTAATGTGCCAAGAGTCACCAGAAGCAAATCTGTGTGTTTCAGCTTCTTCTCTGCTGTTAATGATAATACGCACGGCCACGACAGCGGCAGCACTGTCATCAAGGATTGCAAGGGTTAAATAGACTGCACATGTCTGGCACTCAACAAGTGGTTGTCGCATAGTCTATTGTCATTGTTGTTGGAGCCACTACAGATGTGGGTCACTTGAGAGCTGTGCTCCTCTGGAATATTCTACTGCACCGAGAACCTGGGTTCTAGTGCCCCCATGATTCCCGTACTGCTCCCCATTTGACCCGCTCTGAGGGTTGCTGTATGTATGTCACTAACAGTTAGGGACCATATTTGCCTGTGATGATACAATTTTAATCCCATATTATTTATGGCCACAGATGATAATGTGTCTATGAGGTTCTGGAAATAACTAATATGGAAATCTTGACACTAGTGGTTGCTTGGGATCCCTACAATTTGGATCCATGACTGCCTCAAATGCACAACGTTTCTGTTGTAAGTAAGCAGGATCTGTTTGGCTTAAAGTTATAAATATCCTGTTGTTTAACTAACAGGTAGTTGGGATTGTGAAGTTGGTTTTAACTGGCCCATAACATGAAAAAGTGAAACTGTGTATATAACCTGGCAGGGAAAATGGAGGTAAAAATGGATGATCAAAACGTGCTTCGTGAGCAGTTGGGTCTGAGATGGGAAAAAACGCCCACATGTTTGAATATACTTATTTTAGCAGCCACAGATGAAAGCTTAAGACTCTGAGTCCTCTCAACTTTTGATGTTGGATTATGTTCTTAGTTTCTCCTTCCTTAGACTCTTTGATGAGGGCTATATGACATCTGACAGTTGTCTCATCAAGAAACACAATGATTTCTGGATGGGAGGTGGTTGGCTTTTTGTAGGAGCACCTTATATAGAAGTCCTAAACAAAACAAACCAAACAAAAATAAAAAACACAAGACAACCAAACAGGCATCATCAGAAATGTCAAGCTATGTAGGGAAAAATTATATACACAGATGAAGGTATGGCTGAACTTGAATTGAGATAGGAAAACAAGAGAAAGCAAAGGTGGCTCCTTCAGAGAGGAGGGTACAGGGTGAGACAGTGGGATATCGGAGTCAGGTCACATGGGCCTGCAAAAGCAGACTGTTACATTTCTAGGAGTTTTGCAAGCTGGTTCTTGAAAACAGCCATTAACAGCAATTCAATTCTATAAATTTGGAATTAAATAAATTCTAGTTTAAAAAGGTAAGAGCTATTTACAGCTCATGACTTCATAATTACTTCACTGCATTTCACTCTCGGGTATGCTCTTGGGCTCGTTCCTGTTTCCTGCATCTAGATGGTGGGAATACTATATAAAGACATGCTGCTGCCTATTTCTTCCTGACTCTGAATTTGGTGATGTCATGTTTGTAGCTTGAAACTGGCCACAACTGGAGTTTTCACGTGGAAAAAAAATTTTAAAAAGGGAAACGCTACAAACCTGGGCTTGATTTTTTGATTTCCTGGAGCTAAGAAATTTATTAAATAATATTATGTTAAGGGGGCCTGGGTGCCTCAGTCAGTTAAGTGTCTGACTCTTGATTTTGGCTCAGGTCGTGCTCTCACGGTTCCTGAGTCTGACCGAGCTCCGCGTTGAGCTCTGGGCTGACAGCACGGAACCTGCTTGGGACTCTCTCTCTCTCTCCCTCTGCCCTTCTCCCTGCCTTGCAGTTTCTCTCTCTCTCTCTCACACACACACACAAAATAAAAAATAAATAAAGGGGGAAGAGAAGGAGGTATGGCGATGTATGGAATTCTCCCTTTAAAAAATGATATAAAGATATTAGTATCAGAAATTTTATGTTAGCTCTCATGTGGTATTGTAAGTTTTAGTAACATGGAGTTAATTTGGAAAATTTATGCATTCTGTAGATGGTGATGTAGAATCAAACAGTTCCGATGCCTGCTAAACAACAATAAAAATATTTTTTTGGACTATTGTGTTCAGTGTGCAGAAGCTGAAAATGGTTCCAGTCTGATGAATATAATCTGTATGAGAGAGAAATAATCCAATAGCGGATCATCTATGACATTTCATGACAACAAATATATTGGGAAGAATTGGCAGATTGAGATTCAATTTCATTTCTCCAACTGTTGTTGAGTTTCAGCCATAGATTGCCACTGACAGAGTTTAGCAAAGATACATGAAAGTTTTATACCTTAGATACATAAAATGTCCATTTATTATATCTCAATAAACCTGAAGAAGGACAGTATTACGTGATAATCAGCTGACTATATAGAACTTATAATAACAGCGTTGTATATTATTATTCACAAGCCACGTGTCTCAGATTCTATCGGTAAAATTTAAAAAAATATTTTTAGTTTATTTATTTATTTTAAGAGAGAGTGAGTGTGAGTGGGGGGAGGGTCAGAAAGAGAGAGGGAGAGAGAATCCAAATCAGGCTCCACGCTGTCAGCACAGAGCCCAATGTGGGGCTCGATCCCACAAACTCTGAGGTCATAACCTGAGCCAAAATCAAGAGTCAGATGCTTAAACAACGGAGCCACCCAGGTGCCTCAGTACAATTTACAATATCCCCAGATGTATTTGTGCTTGGGTTTTTCCCACCTTGGAAAGCCAGCTGTGAAGTACTCACCAGCCTACCACCAGGACAAAGAAAATCATCACACATCTTCCCCTTGGGCCTCTGAACTTGGTGCAATCATTAATGGATGAACCCACATTTTTTATTTTGCCGTCAGCATTTAAAATCTTTCCCAGAGTGATTTATATCACGTGACACCCCTGTTCCAGGAATTCCAGAGAGCCAATTACAGGGGCCTCCCCTGTCTCCTCAGGAAGCCAAGGGCCAGCTTCCCTGCTGAAAGAATGGACATGAAATCTGGTGTCTAGGATCCACGTTCATTTCCATTTTACATCCTAGCATAAAACCCTCGGACCAAACTCCTCTACAAAAATGAGTATATTTGGGAGATTCATTAGGCCCTCCAACTTCCCACAGAGGTGGTGGTTCTCACTGAGAAGAACAATAAAGAGGGATTCCATCCTACACAAGTCCCACAATTAAATTCCAAGTGTTATTCACTTCCACTGACTGGAGGCTCCTGGACCAGTCTTAGGAGCCAAGGCTCCCTCCGTGTGGCTCGGTGGCTTCCCCAGGACTGATGCTGTCTGATCTGTGATATCCTGGGCATCCTTTTGCTTTGTGAACAATCAGTTTGTTGACTGCCTGGACACCCATTTTCTTCAACACCAGAACAACTGTGTGCTTGAGCCTCATGCACCGAAGTTCGTCTGTGATATCCTATCCACCCAAACTTTGCACATGGGACCATAATCATTTCACAGACAAGCAACAGCATATAGCAATTCTAGAGTGATCTCGAAATTAAGTGATCCCTGCTTTCCCACAACCTGAACTATTTGGGACCTTTCTGTCATGGTGGGACGGAGCTCTTGACCTCTCCAGCTCTGAGTCTATGTATCCAGGATAGCACCCCTAGTGAAACTTATCTGTTCCACAGAAGATATTTTTGTCCATTTTCAAGTCACTTTCAAGACTTATAAACATGAAATCCTGTCTCAGTATTTATTAACCGAGTTCTCAGGGTATCAGCTCTCTTGGAAGCAGACACCTAAATAACAACTTTGGTAAAGTAATTTCAGGTACTTTTAGTTTTCTATCATCTCTATTCCAGACAACCAGACATGCCTTGTTGTGGAAACCTGACTGCCCAGTCCCAGCAGATGGGACCATATATATGATCATTCTCCCAGGAGATTTTTTTAAAAAATTTTTTTACATTTATTTATTTTTGAGAGACAAAGCACAAGTAGGGGAGGGGCAGAGAGAGAAGGAGACACAGAATCGGAAGCAGTCTCCAGGCTCCGAGCTGTCAGCACAGAGCTCAACACAGGGCTCAAACCCATGGACTGTGAAATCATGACCTGAGCTGAAATTGAATGCTTAATTGACTGAGCCACCCAAGTGCCCAATTCTCTCAGGAGATTTTCTAAGCATTTACTCACACAGCGGAGCCAGTGGTTGGGCACAGGTGGTGAGTAGGAATTCACATAAAGGAAAGTTCTGAGAGCATTTGGCTGCCGGGGAAGCCTGTGAACTCCAGGAAAGCTTGGTGATCTCTGGCAGGTTTTATGGCTGGCTGCCCCAGTGCGGGGTTGCAAGAGTAACACAGTTGTACCCTGGCTAGCCTCCAAGGCCTAGGGCTGTACACAAGAAAAACCTTCAGCTGCCACACATATATTATATATCAATGTGTTATATGTGTGTGTTGTATGTTACACGTTTTGTGTATGTATATATGTGCATGTGTATGTATTGATATACACATATATGTACATATGTGTATATACGTAATCTTTTTTTTTTTCTTAAACAGCTACCTTGGTTTTCCAGTATTGGTCCAGAGAACTGTGTGGTTGCCTGGGCCACAGACTGTCTATGGCATCCTGAGATGTCTCTCTTTCCAGGCAATGCTCGCAAGGGATCGCACTGAAGATTAGCTCCCTGAGGGTTTAAAGCCATGCGTGTCCTTCTTACACACCTGTGAGGTCACAAGTGCCATCAAAAAGTTGCAGCTCCTTTGGGGCGCCTGGGTGGCTCAGTCGGTTAAGCGTCCTACTTCGGCTCAGGTCATGATCTCCTGGTTCA